CTAGCACAAGACTGGCAAAGGGTTGAGGTGTGGGAAGAACGTGAGGTCAGGAAAATGAACCCAGTATTGTCAATTATTATGACTTGTATAGGGACAGTCTAGCAGTGAGTGTAACTACTGAGGAGCAGGTATGGGGTTCTGTGTCGCTTACCCTAACATAGCCTAACGGTATTTCTTCTATTGCTTTGTTCTTCAAACTAGAACTTTTTTTCACTTTAGCTTTCAGCATGATCTTGACATCCAAGTGCCCGAGTGTGCTGTGAACTATTAAATCATTTGTAAATAGTTTTCTGGATAAACTTTGATAGTAGCCTGTTTTGTAGGTAGCTTCTCTTCAGTACCTTTTGGGTAGGAAGGCATCTGACAGCACATGTTTGGTCATCTGTATTAGGATAAGATTTTGACTTTATGCAGTTCCATTTTGGGTTTAATGAGTTTATGATACAGTTGTTTGGTGTTAGAAGCCGTAGTCATACAAATATACATATACAAATTCCCCCAATCTGTACGCAGATCTTTACCATTTGTATTCTTCCCAGCTAAACATAATGACATTAAATTTAAAAAAAATGGGGCCCAAGTGCCTCAAAAATAGCCTGATGCATGTTTCACCCTATCCGCCACTCTATATACAGCTTGAGCTTGACGAAGATCTTTTGGGGACGAAACTTTGCTGTTGTGGTTCTCAATAAAGTGCCTGCCTTAAACCAAGGAGTGCCTGGACCCCTATTATTTTACCCTTTTAAATGGTATAACAACTGGACCAAGGAAATTCCCAGTGATTAAAGTGAAAGTCTGAAGGTCAATCATCCAATATGGACTCATGTCATAAATTAGCTCTTCTGTACTTTTTTTTTTTTAATCTTTGAAAACTAAAGAAGAGTGTGTCCAGTAATGTATTAATTATGTTACATGTTGTTTATCTGATATTTAAGAAACTACAATGAAAGCATCTAAATAATAGGTATATCAGACAACTCACTGTGCACATTATTACACATTATTACACTTGAGTGTTTTTCTCTCTTTAGAGTCTATCTGCCAAATGTTTCCTCAGAGTCATAAAAGAATGGATTTTTGTTCATATGCCACTAAATCAAATTTCCATTGAATTAATCTGAATGGAATCAAACAGAAGAGCTTAAACAAGAATTCCATTACCTAAAGCATACTTTTTATTGTTTTCATTTCGGACATCTGCTGCAAGGGCTTTGGTATGGTAATCCATTATATAATAGTAATTTTGCAACATAATTTTGTGCAAACTTTAATTTATATTTGATTTATTTTTTTCAAGATATATAATTATTATTTTTTAGAATTTACATCATACACAAAACAAAAACCTATAGCATCTGAGCTACAACTTGTAATGTTAAATGTCGTCTGTTCCAATAAATTCAAATTAAAAAAAAGGATGCCCAGTTTTGGTAAATCTAACATTGGGAGGTAGGGGATCGAGATAAAAAATAGGAAAAGAGGACAAAAAGAACGAAAAGGTAAATCGGAAAGAAGAAATAAGCAAGAAGAAAGAAAACAGATAATAAAAGAATGAAAGTGAAGAGGGTGCAAGGTGGCTGAGCAGAGTTCCAGGCTAGATATATTAGATTACATTTTGAAAAGTCCAGTACATACTTTTGCAGCCAGAGTCACCTGTAGTTTTAATTTCTAATGATCCCAGAAAATGCCCAAATGACACACATGCAAGAGTCTTACATATTAAAGAAATCAGGATTCAAAATGTATGTTTAATTGTTTCCACATTTAAGTTATTTCCACATGGAGACTATCTCCAGACAACACATTTCTGGAGCTTAGTTCCTCTGTGAGGTGTTCTTCCAACAGAGTGGGCAACATGTAGCATATTGGTAGACAAGATGTGCAGGTATAAGGTACAAGATGTGCAGGTCTAAGGTACAAGATGTGAAGGTATAAGGTATCATCTCAGTGGTACAGTGGTGAGAAAGACAACGGGTAGGCAGAGTAAGAGAAGGCTTTGTGCCAGTTTGTTAAAAATATAGGGCACCCCAAATCATTCTTTCAAGACAGAAGATAATGCTGAAAACAGGTTTATATTGAATAATTAATTAATAATCACTTGGTAGAGGTTGGGATTCACTGTACATTTATTTATTTATTTATCAGCTTCATTAATTTTTATTTGTTATTTAAGAGGTTAACGTGTGTATATGAAAAATATTTCTGCAATATTATAGTTTCCAAAATATAATTATTGTAACATATATTCCACGACCGAATGATTTTTTTAACAAAGGAGTTATTATCACATGGTTACCACCGCTGATAATCACCTTCTGTGTTACACGGAACAGTCACTGATTCAACAGATATCACAGCGGGTGTTGCAGAGTGTCCATGCCAAAACCAACACGACTGGATCCTATCAAAACTGTTACTGCATCTTACGTCTATAGAATCTGGCTGTTTATGTTTCTTTAAACCAGTATGTGCTGGAGAAATTGAACCCTTAAACCCAATTGCTCTGACATTACTAGGTTGCACAGCATGAGGTTATTACAAAAGAGTGTGGTGGTAGGGACAAGGGTAAGATAGCAGGGCTACATGGTACAAAATGAAAATCTCTCACATTGAAATGTGATGATATGTTTAAACAACTGGTAAAACAAGGATGAAGACCAGTAACAGTGTGCAGTGGTTAGTATCTACCAAATGTGGTGCAAAGCAGGACAACCGATGAGCTAGCATCAGGGTCCTGGGCACCCACGGCTTATTGAGAGTGAAGATTAGCCCGTCTGGTTTGATCACACAGAAGAGCTACTGTAGCTCAAATTGATTAAACATTTAATGCTGTCAATGATATAAAAGTGTTAGAATACACAATGCATCCCACTTTGCTCTGTATGGTACAGCATAGCCACAGACCAGTCATAGTGTCCATCATAACCCCTGTCACCACCAAAAGCACCTTCCATGGAAACATGAGCATCAGAACTGGACTATGGAGCAATGGAAGAAGGTTGCCCGGTCTGATAAATCATACTTTCTTTTAGCTCAGGTGCATGGGTGTGTGCATCATTTACCTGGAGAACAGATGGCAGTTGGATGCACTATTGGAAGAAACGCAGGCAGTGTTATGCTCTGTGCAATGTTCTTCTGGGAAATCTTGGGTCCTGGCCTTCATGTGCATGTTACTTTGACATGTTCCACCTATCTGGAGTTATTTGCAGAACATATACATCCCTTCATGGCAATGGTGTTCTCTGATGGAAGTGGCCCCATCCTGCAACTTGCAGGACTTAAAGGATGTGCTGCTAATGTCTTGGTGCCAGATACCACAGGACAAGTTCAAAGATCTTGTGGAGTCCATGCCTTGAAGCATCAGAGCTGTTTTGGCAGCACAAGGGGGACCTATATGATAGTAGGCCGATGGTTGTGGCTGATCAGTATATTTTGCCATATTTTGCATAACATTTTGGACACAGCTGTTTAACAAGGTATACAGTGATGTTGAGTCCAGGTTGAGTAGAATTTATCATTGAACAGTTCAGACCTTTCACTGTGCTCTAAAGAATAAGACTGGAATTTCCCCCTAATTTGTTATGTTTAACAAAGAAAAGGGATTTAGGAGTAATTATTTCAGATGACTTAAAGGTAGGAAGACAATGTAATAGAGCAGTAGGAAATGCTAGCAGACTGCTTGGTTGTATAGGGAGAGGTATTAGCAGTAGAAAGAGGGAAGTGCTCATGCCATTGTACAGAACACTGGTAAGACCCCACTTGGTGTATTGTACGCAGTACTGGAGGCCATATCTTCAGAAGGATATTGATACCTTAGAGAGGGTTCAGAGAAGGGCTACTAAACTGGTTCATAGATTGTAGGTTAAAACTTACAAGAAAAGGTTGAAGGATCTTAACATGTATAGCTTGGAGGAAAGACGAGACAGGGGGGATATGATAGAAACATTTAAATACATAAGGGGAATCAACACAGTAAAGGAGGAGACTATATTTAAAGAAGAAAAACTACCACAACAAGAAGACATCGCCTTAAATTAGAGGGGCAAAGGTTTAAAAATAATACCTGGAAGTATTACTTTACTGAGAGGGTAGTGGATGCGTGGAATAGTCTTCCAGCTGAAGTGGTAGAGGTTAACACAGTAAAGGAGTTTAAGCATGCGTGGGATAGGCATAAGGCTATCCTAACTATAAGATAAGACTAGGGACTAATGAAAGTATTAAGACAATTGGGCAGACTAGATGGGTCGAATGGCTCTTATCTGCCGTCACATTCTATGTTTCTATGTTAATATGCATCTTATTATTATCTATGCCTACATTTTGGCAGGTTACAAGTTTTGGAAAAAGCCAGACGTCCAGCTTGAAGACATTAACTCAACAGAGAAGTTGTAGTAGTAATCTACAGATTTAGAGTGTTACTTTCTAACAGTGTTATTTGCTATCCTCAGAATTTTAGATAATTCAATCAGTATGGCTAAAGTGTGACTACAATTGCCCAGATATGATTATAAAGAGATCGTGGCAGGTTTGTGTCCAGCGGCTTGTTAACTAAAAGCAGGCGCTATCAATAACCAATCAAAGGGAGCCATGTTTTATTTATTTATACTGTCTACTAGTAGGTTTATTTCAATCAATAAGAAACGTATTTGTTAAATACTGTATCAGCTCGAAAATAATTTGTGACTTCATTCCAAAGCATTTTGAGTCCACATCAAGAATTTCTCAGGGCCAATAAGGGTCAGTTTGATTGATTCTATTTTGAAATTCATAATTATCATTCAACTCTAAATTACATTGTTTATATAACTGGAAGAAAATATCAAATTCTGTTACATTCATATTGAAGGAAGCGTCTTCTTGACTTTACAATAACCACACACCAACATATTTTCAAAATATTCTTTTTATACAGTTTATACATATAACTACTAAAAAAAAATAAAAAAAAATTTAAACGATATCACAAACTAATATAGTAAAATATATTACAATATAATTAGGTGAAACCATCCAATGACAATCTGGCATGTTGTATTGAAAAAGTACAAATTCCATTTTTTTTTTTTTGCAAAATGTTTTAGAAGCAAATTCAAGTTTTATCCTATTTCTAATAAAAGTATTATGCAAGTCCAGACAATGAGATACAGCCTACATGTTTCACAAATCTACATATATGGGGTGAAAATAAAATAAAAGACAAAGTAGATAAAATATTTCTAAGAGACTTTGTGATTACAGTAAGTAAACAATGGCACACAATTTTATATCAGAAGAAACAGATAAAAAATCACTCCTCAAAGTATCATGCCCATAACACGTACCAATACCAGCCATGATCCAGATTTCAAGTCAGGCAAACAAAACAGCTGGTCTCCTCCAAATATTTTTGGGTCGAGTTGTTTATAACTGAAGCACTGCAATTCGTGATTAAGGAATCAGGGTTATTGGGGTCCGTGCAAGCAAATCAATATTGAGATACTGATATCCTCGATATTAATCACTTTATAGACTTTCTGTCCATAATCGCCAACCAGTGAGAGAGTTGAGTAAGTACCACATCTCTCAAGATCTCAAGATAAGGATAATCTAAAATCCTGTTAATGTGCAATATTTGTACAGTGACAGGGAAATTCCATTGACTTCTATATCTTATAATCTCACTTAATTTACAATCGATTTTCATAGCTTCGTTTTGCAAAGTGCCAATGCACACAAGACATTTAACATACAATGTAATCAGAAAAGAGAAAAGAATGCATGATGTAATACATACTAGAAGCACTGCCTATTAAAATGCAATACAGTGTCTAACCACTAGGGGAGCTATTTCTGTATTTATCAGTTTATTTATTTAGTTATTGCAGCTGGTCCGATAATAATTGAGCAGAAGTTGACTTTTTTTGTGTTTTAACAAATTTAAAAGTAAAAAATATGTTATATAGCCATTATTATTATTATTATTATTATTATTATTATTATTATTATTATTGTTGTTATATCTAACACCCAGAGCCTAGTTTTAGGTGTCTTCGTCCAGCTAATCATCTGTAAATTAGGTTCATATGTTGTCATTTATTTAGAATCAATAAAGATCTAAATCTGTATTATGATTTATTTAACACTCTGCTAGCTTAATTATAATATTAACATTAATATATTTTATTTTTTAAACACTAATGTACTATGTAACACTGTACAACATATCCTAAGGGTTTATGTACAGAAGGTATATATTTTTTAAATATACCTTCAACAGAGAAATAAACATTTGAATCTAAATTATCTTACTAGTTCGAGTTTTGTAAGTCAAATGTAACTACTGAAAAACAAATAAGAATTGTATACATATGTTTTCAAACCATTTGTTGGCACTCATTGCAGTTATTGGAAGACAAAAATTATATAATGAATCAACACTGTTTGTAACTGCAGCACTAATTAGAAAAACAAACTATTTGCTACCACCACTCTTCACAGGAAAAAAATCATAAAAAATAATGTTAAAGGAAAACTTGATTAGAGAGGCCAGGAAAGAGGCAATTTAATTTGGAGCTCAATTTAGGAATGTAGGATAATTTTAAAAGTACAGGAACTAAAATATGGATTTCAACTTATATAGATTTTTCCCCCAAAAAGGAATTCAAAATACTTAGCACAAGTCATCAAGCTTATAGCAGAGCCAAAACATGTTTAGCAATGACAATGTGTAGGTTTGAATAGAGTTATTCCGTGTGAAAGGTTTTGAAAAAGTAACAATTGGTTTTGCTCCTTAAGCACATCTGTTCTACCCTCAAATTTTTCTCCAAGATTATTGTAATACTTGGTTGTATAAAGCAGACAATAAAACTACAACTATCACAATCCCTTACTCGGCTCAAAATGAGACCTGTGTACTGTGAGAATATTTGGTTTGGCCTGACGATTTTTTTCCTGAAAATAGAGAATGTTTCAAGACACTATATGTCAGTATGGCTCAATAGAATTTTGGTATCGTAAAACAGAACTCCAAACCAAAAGGGTGCAAAAATGTGCCAATAAATGTACTGCAAAACACATACTATTATGTACCATATATATTTTGCAGTATGCTACTTGGCTCAGTTTCGCACCATTTGGTCCACAGATCTTGAGGAGCAATAAACAAAACTATATTTAAATATTTACAATATATATAATATATAAATAAAGATTTTCTTTCTGCTCATCTCTTTTCCCTATATTGCTCTCTTCTCACATGACCTGTTTGTAAAATCAAGATTTTGTGACTCTCCCCTAGCCTTCAAGCATCTTTTTTTCCCCAATTAAGCATCTCTTTTTTTTTTTGCAGTGTGGGTGGAATTCAGAATCCCAAATCATAACGAACATGTTTGGCCAGTGCTTGTTTGGTTCATGAGTTGGAGTTCAGGAATTTGTTTGACCTATCATGGCCAAATTGCAATTCAGGCCAAAACAAATTTCCAAGTCTACCCAAAATGCATTGCATATAGTATAACGTCATAGTAGCTGTTGAAAGTGAGCATCACGATAGACTTAATCAATTTGTTGATTTGTGAGAAATATTTCAGATCAATTCAGAGCTCTATAACTCACTATTTAAAGGAACACTCAAGTATTGTAATTAAATACATGTATTTATAACAATGAAGTGTTGGTGAATCTTCTGAGCCCCATTCCCTATTAAAGGTTTAACCTACCTTCGCCCCCACACCACTCCATGCCTAAAGACTAATCGGATTCTACTTATGTGAAAATCTCTCAGAATCTCAGAGAATGTCATTGAATTAAGTGATTGTCTGCAAGAAGCATTGCTTCCACTTTGCGCTTGGACACAAAGCGATTAGGAAGTGCACCCTCCTGGCTGTCCGATTGACAGCTGTGAGGCTTCAACTTAAATGGACACTCCATTCACCCAGACCACTTCGGCCCATTGGAGTGGTCTGGGTACCAACTCCCATTACCCTTAACCCTGCAAGTGTAATTAGTGCAGTTTTTCATAAACTGCACTAATTGCCCAACAGGATTAAGTCCTCCTCATAGACAGCCACTAGAGGAGCTTCCGGGTTCTTAAAACACTTTTAGTGTTTTAAGAGATGCTGGGCGTCCTCATGCAATGCATGAGGACCTCCAGCGTCACCGGGATCCCCATAGGAAAGCAGTGAATAATGCTTTCCTATGGGGTGGTGTAATGCATGCGGCAATTGCCGCGCATGCGCATTAGGTCTCCCCCGCCGGCTGACGTCGTTGGGAGAAACTGAAAAAAATGCTATGAAAGCATTTTCTATGACACTGTATTCAGCTACATAACTGTATGACACATCTGTACATCAGTATCCAATAATTTATCATTTAAGCCCTATTTATAGAAATCTAGCTGTTTTTTTAAAGGGGGTACTACAATGGAATATACCATACCAAACCATATTAATATTACTGAACTAAAATGATATCTAATATCAGGATAGAAAGAACTTTTTTGATATAGATTATGTCTTGAAGATAGCTTAGAGAAACAATAATATGAAAATAATGTATTTGGAGATTGAAAAGCTGTTGTTACATGCTTTTTCATTTGCTTTGCTTAGATCGCACTTCTTTCGAGTAACTACGAATTAATCCTGAAACCTGTGCCTGCTTGCTCTCTGTGAAAACTTCAACTGGATCTCACTTTCTGAATTTGATTATTCAGAGATCAGTGAGTTTGAAGGTGTTTTTAATTACAGGGACACTATAGTCACCTGAACAACTTTAGCTTAATGAAGCAGTTTTGGTGTATAGAACATGCCCCTGCAGCCTCACTGCTCAATCCTCGCCATTTAGGAGTTAAATCCCTTTGTTTATGAACCCTAGTCACACCTCCCTGCATGTGACTTGCACAGCCTTCCATAAACACTTCCTGTAAAGAGAGCCCTATTTAGGCTTTCTTTATTGCAAGTTCTGTTTAATTAAGATTTTCTTATCCCCTGCTATGTTAATAGCTTGCTAGACCCTGCAAGAGCCTCCTGTATGTGATTAAAGTTCAATTTAGAGATTGAGATACAATTATTTAAGGTAAATTACATCTGTTTGAAAGTGAAACCAGTTTTTTTTTCATGCAGGCTCTGTCAATCATAGCCAGGGGAGGTGTGGCTAGGGCTGCATAAACAGAAACAAAGTGATTTAACTCCTAAATGACAGTGAATTGAGCAGTGAAATTGCAGGGGAATGATCTATACACTAAAACTGCTTTATTTAGCTAAAGTAATTTAGGTGACTATAGTGTTCCTTTAATTGTGTATCTGTAGAAATATACTCTGGATTAGAGGTTTTCTAAATCTGCTGCAATGCGGCCAGAGATGATTTAAATAGCTTTACTTGTTTTATTGGAAAAAAAAAAAAGATCTAATAACAAACAATTTGGGCAAAAAGAGCATTGGAGCATTTGCAATTTTATGAAATCTAGTATCGATATTGAATAAAAAGAATAAAAAGGGACTGTAAATATCAATAATGTGTTCTCTACTCAAAAGAGAAACATGCTAAAATAATAATTGAAAAATCATGGTAGTGCTATATTGGAACTAGTTATATTAAATGTATTTAAAAAGTTGTGAAGATAATTTACATAATTATCTTACCAAGAACTAAATAACTAAAAAATATATAATAGGCCAAAAGTACATTTTAGTAATCTTGCCTCACGCAAACTAAATATCTTTTTTTTTTATCTGTGAATTTACAGTCTTTAAGTGAATGTTAGAGTTCACTTAAGAAACCGGTAACAACCCCTAAAACAATTATTATATATAACTTATCGTAAAGATAACTGAATATTCAAATCACTTTGGTGCAGTGAAATGGCCACTCGCCTCCTCTCTACCATTGCAGTGCCTCCGTGATTGAAGAACTGTGTTTGATGCAGTATTGTAACCCTCTTGTAATGCCTTTTCTCTGTTCCCCTAGAATATGATTGTCCCTACTGGGGGACACTTCCTCAACTTGGACAATACTCCCTAACGATGCAGTCATGCTGGATTCATTGCACATCAATGTCAGAGACTGCTGGTTGGAAATGTACTGTGGTGAAGAGCTGGAGAGCCAGCTATGCTCTCCCTGTCACTCATTGGTTGACATATACCTCCATGTCATTGGTGTAGAGGTTTATGCAAAGGATCATTTGACAGGAGAGGGAGCGCCCATATTTAAACATATTTTCATTACAATCTATACATTCTGCTAACATTTCTGATAAAAATGTATGTGGTTTCAATTAACGCTAGGTTATATGTGACATGACTTAATTTTATAAAAACACACTCTCTCAAGGTTTTTTCAAAAAATGGTCTATTATAAAAATACACATTTTATTACATAGACATTACAATTCCAGTTATAGACATTATACGTCCAGTTACTCGGCATCAATGATAAACTGAACTAACGCTTAATGGTACAGTATATTAAAAAAATATTTTGCTTATTCTAATATCCTTCGATAAAAAGTCTACTTAATCAGAAAAGTTAACTGTACACCCAAGCTGAGATATGAAGCATTTTGCTTGACAGTTGTACGATCAAATCATTTCTCTATTTATCTCATGGAGTTTTTGTTTGTAAATATAGGACGTATATTTGTTTCTTACGTTCGTATGGAAACATTAGTTGCAGGAATTTCTCACTGTGGGGCACACCCATTGTACAATGTTACTCCATGAATGAACTTGTTGATATGATCTGCTGATTCATGAAGCAGTTTTGTAACACAGTAGAATTCTACAGAACGAATAATAACAATAACAAATGCTAAAAAAATGCTAGAATGCTTCTGTATTGTTTTTTTTAACCGTCTCCTTTAAGACGTGTGACACTTTACAGCTGAACAGGTTTAGACCTGCACACTCTACCTACGTAACTCATTCTGGTAGATTTGTACATCGAGATAAGTTATATAGGTAGTGGGATTACAATTCTGCCTATGGCATCATTAAAATTCCCTGCCACTCGAAGAGTGAATCAAAGTAATATTTAGATTAGCAGGTGGTTTAAAAGCGATAAAATAAAAAAGGTGCAATAACAGGCACTAATAAGAAGATATACAGTTTTTCGAAACTGTACGACGACCATTTTCATCGCAATCAATTAGTATAATTTCTCTACTAGTATACAATTCAGTGCTGCAATATAAAGTAAAGACGTATATTAAAATGCAATATGTTTGCTTTTGTTACAGAAACCCTTCAAAATAAGGACTTACAGAAACTTGCAGTGAATACTGCCTAAGAAAAAGGTTACAGAGGTATGGACACCTTCCGTTAAGAGATAAAAAAATTACAAAAAAATAGAATGTTCTCGCTTGGTTTGTAGCCAAGTATATCCAGAGGATGATTACTCAATTTTAAAATATCTAGTAAAAGAAACATTTTTTTTCTTCAAATGTTTCAAAAATATAAATAAACTAGCAGTAAAAAAAAATGTATTCCACATGTTAGTACCAGCAACAGTCTCTGGATTGTGTGAAAGTCTTTTGTGAGATAATCTGTCACTTGTCTACACTGTTATCAATCCGCGATTCATTGAAAATTTTCTCCAATTGTAGAATTGGTTAATGGTGTTTTGAAGACGGGGGATTGTGGATCCAGTCAGATATGATAAGGGACATGCTTCCGATCATAAATATGATTCCGACAATCAGGAAAATTAAGGCCTGAAACACAGAAAATAAAATAAAATGAAGATCTATTCTCAATCCTGAAATACTTTGATATGCAGGGATACAAAATGATTCCTTCTGTCCTGCATTTTGTTAACATTTACTATTTCCACGACTTTTTCTTGTGTGTTCTTTTACAGTTTATTGTGCATTCTCTTATTTACATAATAGGCGTCATAACAAATATACATCGAATAACTATGTTTTGCATGCTTTTATGCTACGGTATCTTCTTTGCCTTGGGAAAACAATAATAAATGTAATAACACTTATCTTTTTATAACCAACAAAGGAACAGCGACCTCTGCTGTCAACTAGTACGTATAGCAAGGATGTGACTCATTTATTGTACTCAAGTGCAATGCGTAATGCATTCAAATATTCATTCCTGTCCCAACGAAAATATTGAGTCACGTATTAACTTGCCGAATCTTGTGTCACACACCCAAAGAAAGCACACATGTGACTGGTCTAATTTGAAGAACTTTGTTTTAAAACAATTGGCCATTTATAATGTTATACAAAAACATTGCTGATTACACCAAAAAACAACCCCTCAAAAAACATGTAATTATCTATTAGTTGCAGGGCTAGGTATTGAATTTGAGTATGATAAATTCATTTTGGTGGAAAAAAAAATGTGATTTGACAAAACATGTATTAAATGACACTATACATGTGGCATCTGCATTTTATTGAATATTTTACTAACAGTTATTTAATGAAGTGAGAATTCATAGTGAATTTCAAATTTAGGGCCAGAATATTCAGGCTAAAAGCACAGCAGACTCTTTTTGTTCCAGATCGGGTATTTTGACCTTCAATTTGGATTCCATTTTGAATTCTCACAGTAAATTGCTCTGTATATATTAACTGTTAATGCCAAATAAAATGTTCTCACGTAATAATAATATTTTACTTGGATACATATTTTACATTTTTGAAAGTGGTTATGTAAATAAAGAATGCTAATTTATTTATCCATTAAGTGTAGTTATATGGCTAGCAGCGTACATTGCCTGTATGTTGATTTACATTTGTAGCTATAATATGAGCTATGACTCACTACAAAAAAAAGCCAAACATTTCTTTAAATGCCTATATTGTTTGTTTAATAGAAGGGAAGAGATCGTGATACTGCATTTTATCCAGTATAAACAATCTCTTGTCATGAAGTTATGGGTTTGAATAAACCATTAATGTTCGCCGATCACTAAATATAGGTCACTAACTCACAGTTATCCATGAACAGATGTCTACATACAAGACTCACCAATTAATAACAATAAAATGCCCTGGTGAAGAAATCCTAAAAAGAAAAGATGGTGCTACAATCACCTTAGTGGAGCCACAGAAACCACTAAATAAATACAAGTGACAGTTTAAAATATAAATGGTGAGAGCACTCAAATAAAACAAACAGTAATATTACCCAAACTTGGTTAAAATAGTAATGTGCAGTGTGTATGAGTGTATCACAGAAGTAGAGAATTGCTGGCACACTGCATTTACTGAAATTGGGAGCAGTGCTGCACTCAGACCGCCTGTCTGCCTCTGGAGTTTATCTTCAGAGGCAGACAGGCGGTCTGAGTGCAGCACTGCTCCCAATTTCAGTAAATGCAGTGTGCCAGCAATTCTCTACTTCTGTGATACACTCATACACACTGCACATTACTATTTTAACCAAGTTTGGGTAATATTACTGTTTGTTTTATTTGAGTGCTCTCACCATTTATATTTTAAAAAGACTCACCAATTAACTAACCGAAATCATTTTTACTGGCTACCAGGCATTGAGAATATATTATAAAGCCCTAGGTGTACATTTATGACTGGGGCAAAATAACAATGGAACAAAGGGGACATTTCCACTATGGTCATCAAACAGCAAACAACGCCACTTATAGGGCAATCATTGTAGCAGTTTATGTGTCACTTATGTGTCTGGGGCAGCGTCCCTGTGCTCTCCCTGACCTACAGTGACAAGGGGGTGAGCTTATTCTCATTAGAAACCTCATTGTACAACTGTAGCAGAAAGAATCTGTTTATGTTTAGAAAGAGCAAAGCTCCCTCTTCTGATTAGTAAAAGGTACTGCATACTTAATGCTCACTAAATGTGTACACTGGGAAGGCCTGCATAATACCGTTTGGGGAGCACATGTTGGATGCAAGTGCAGATAACATTTCATGGCTAGACAGCTGCATTAAACAAATATATGTATCAAAAGAGGTTCCTCAGTCATCTCAACAAACGTATCATCAGATACACTTGTGTGGGCAGACTATTATGCTTTTGTGCCTATATGTTATCCTTCCAGTCTGCCTGTCTGCTCTTCTGTCTACAAGCCTTCTGGACTCCTTCTCCATCTGTATTCCTGCCCATTCTGTCTGTCTGTCTGTCTGTATTCCTGCCTGTATTCCTGCCTGTCTGCCCATTCTGTCTGTCTGTCTGTCTGTATTCCTGCCTGTCTGCCCATTCTGTCTGTCTGTCTGTCTGTCTGTATTCCTGTCTGTCTGCCCATTCTGTCTGTCTGTCTGTCTGTATTCCTTCCTGTTTGCCCATTCTGTCTGTCTCTCTGTCTCTCTGTCTGTCTGTCTCTCTGTCTGTCTGTCTCTCTGCCTGTCTGTCTCTCTGCCTGCCTGTCTCTCTGTCTCTGTCTCTGTCTCTCTCTCTCTCTCTCCCTTTCTATCACAATATACATTTGGAGGAAATGTAATCTAGTAATCTGGACCCAGTCCTGAATTTGCCTTAGTATCCGTATGTTTAGAAATTGTAATTTGCCTTTTGATAAATAAGTAAGCTAGGGGTTTCTCATTTAGATAATAATGTTTCCTAAATGCAGAATCGGCATGCCGTGTACCTATTACAATGATATGAGTTAGGAATTTTAAGAGATTAATAAAATACAAGACTGGACTTAGTCATATATACTTTTTATGATTTGTTAGACTATTTGTACTGAGTATTTCCTTGACCATCAACAACAGATGCATAAACGTACCCCAATTTTCTGCGGTGAACGGAATGGTTCTTTTTTCACTATTCGTAAATAAAATGCTGCTGGAAGAATAAAGATAAGCAGCGTTGCAGCCGACGCACCTTTAGAAAAGAAAATATAAGACATGTTTAAAAACAAGTTTTCCTAAAAGAAGTAACTATATGGACTCCCATTTTATTTCATGCCTAGCTAAAGGCAGTGCAAAGCGACACTACATTGTAAACATTAACATATTTAGATAAAACTCTTTCACTGGTTGGATCTATTAACATTTTGTCATTTTTAAATAACTGCTATTTGCATTCATTACCAATTAATAATATTCCAACATTTCTACACAAAATCTGTAACGATGTGCAGAGTTGACAAGAGTTATAAAACATTGGATATATAAATGAAAGACACTTTGCAATCAATGCACTTTAAAAGCTCATTAATATACTGATCTATTAAAAAATAAATTTCTGAACCCAACAGTCCTAATGGATGAGTTGAACAAGCAGCAAATTATCAATGGGGAAAAGTGTTACAAAGTTAAAACTTTTTGTACAAATTACATGCTGTGACTTGCTTAAATAGTTCCTTTGCATTAAATGCATTGACTCCAGAACTATTTTCCCAGAGAGGTTTTGACACTTTGTGAACCAATTTACCCTAAAAGACCATCTTTGTTATTTTATCATGAAATTCGTGAATAAGGGTAAAGAAATGTCACTTTATGCATATTATTTTTTCCACAGTCAAGGCTATAAATATTTGCAATTCACTTCCAATTTAAGTTGTTTAGTTAAATTCAACAAATGGGTTTAATAAATGCTCGAGGCCCTTATCCTCAGTTGAGATATAAAGTGTTCATTGTACTTTATAGAATGCTATCTGTACATTGCATGCATTGTTCCTTTGTTTCTTTTGTATTTACATATGTGAAATTAGATTGTGATTACACTAGTATTGCCAAGTGTAAAATAATTATTATCTTTGTATGTCTAAAGTTGAGAATTTGGCTAATTAAAGATTTTTTTTTTGTAAAAGAAATGCTTGGGGCACCATTGTAAACAAAATCAAGCCATATAGTAGCAAAACAAGCACAACTTAGATCAACATTTTCTTAATCATGTAGGAACATAGAAACTTAGAATGTGATGGAAGATAAGAACCATTCGGCCCATTTAGTCTGCCCAATATTCTAAATACTTTTGTTAGTTCCTTGGCCTTATCTTATGATATTTAAGATAGCCTTATGCCTATCCCACACATGCTTAAACTCTCTCACTGTGTTAACCTCTACCACTTCAGCTGGAAGGCTATTCAATGCATCCACAACCCTCTCAGTAAAGTAATACTGATATTATTTTTAAACATTTGCCCCTCTAATTTTGTCCTCTTGTTGTGGTTGTTTCTCTTCTTTTAAATCCTTTACTGTGTTGATTCCCTTTATATATTTAAATGTTTCTATCATATTCCCCCGTCTCGTCTTTCCTCCAAGCTATACATGTTAAGATCCTTTAACCTTTCCTGGTAAGTTTATTCCAGCAATCCATGAACCAGTTTATTAGCCCTTCTCTGAACCCTCTCTAAGGTATCAATATCCTTCTGGAGATACGGTCTCCAGTACTGCATACAATACTCCAAGTGAGGTCTCACCCGTGTTCTGTACAATGGCATGAGCACTTCCCTCTTTCTACTGCTAATACCTCTCCCTATACAACCAAGCATTCTGCTAGCATTTCCAGCAGCTCTATTACATTGTCTGAAATTATTACCTCTAAATCCCTTTCCTTTGTTAAACATAACAAATTAGGGAAAAAGTCCAGTCTTATTCTTTGGACCAATGAAAGACTATGTCCTCTTGTTTTGGTAGTTTTTCATCTTTTAAATACACTCGCCTCCTTTTCGGTGTAGATTCCCTTTACCATGAGTTACTGAGTTTTCAAATCAAGTACCTCTAAAATCAGTTCTGATAGTAAACTAGTATAAACGTCTTATTTGGAACCCTTAGAAGTACCTCATAGAGGTGTGTGTTCCCAACTCAGTACTCAATACATAACAACATACCACGGTTTGTCAGTATTCCCATTGTAACAGAATTGGTGAGTAGCTTAATACTGGACTGTTACACTTTGTTAAACAATATGGGTACTACAGAATTATTGAACCCAATGGACTTCATGCACTTTTAGCCAATTTTACTTTTCAGCATGTATTAACAAGCCCCATGAGAGAGCAAGACTTTTGTGGTGGCTACATGTCACAATATTGGTTGCCATATAGGATGACACATTTGAGAATAATTGCAATTGTTTACAGTCTCTAACAGAGGTTTTACACTCTTTCATAAGTGAACACAATGGAGTAAGAAAGTGTTATGTAATCATTTTAGCTCAGCATATAATTTCACATTTAAGAACCCAAGGACACTGTCTCGTCTTAATTTAGCAATATTGACTTCTAAATGTAAAATATGTGTTCATGGCATGTTATCTTACCAATAAATCCAAAGATATCTTTAATCGTTGGTACAAATATTACAAGAGTGTTATTCAGAGCAAGGAGTACAAATGCTATTAAGAAATGTCTTAGCATGTTGAATGGTCTTCCGGGAAACAACATTGTAGTGACTGAAGTACGAATCTGTAATGAAAACAAAAATAAACATACATAAAAAACATTTTTCAAGACTGCATTGTGATTTTTTTGTTTCAACAGATAAAACAATTTCTATTCCAATGTCTTCTGCTGGACACATTATCTTTAAGAATAAACATTTCTTCAGATACTAAATATGAGCAGAAAACTCAAACAATTTATCTCACTTCAACCTTTGTTTTAATATTTTTGGATGAGCTATACAAATGTTTTCATATTTTGATATTTGTGATATGTAGATTTTTTTTATATATGATGAAATCTTTTATATTTTAATATTTAGAAAAAAAATAATTTGAAAACCTTATCCGAAAATATAACATTAAATATATTATCCAGAATATTAAATGTATTCATTAATTTGAATCCAATAGTTACAAACCCATATGTGAAACCATTTTGGTACTCTGGTCTCAATGTAATATGCTTCTCAAAAAGTCAACATTAAAGTATATAGGGATCTTTGTAAATAAATCATTTGGCAATAATATTAATTGAGGCCTTTATTTTGCAGTCTATTTGGACACAATATACTTACACAATCATCCCTGAATGGCCTTTATAAACCTTTAGCTCTAATACTGGAACTTGAAACATAGGGACTCTACCTAGGGTACTTAGATGGGGCAAATTCCAGATTATTAAGACACAACTAAGAACTTTTTGAGATGTCTCATCCAATCCTCCGTCCCTTGCTGTTATATATAAAGCTACAAGGATGTATGTTCAATAAGTCAACATTTAAGTAAATGGAGTCTACTTGCATGGCCAACCATTACACACGCGCCTTTCAAAGCTTACGACTGTAAACTTCCTGTTAGCAGACATGCTAGGTCTCAGCTCTTCCCGTCAGATATGAGTTAGCACGAGAGTTTAGTTTTAAGGCATTTTTTATACATTCAGATAATTATTATTGTTTGATATTTGATCAGATGCATGGCTGCCATGAATGTACCTTGATTGTCCCTTTAAATATTATTTCTATAAATTCTGTAATTGTCAGACTGCAATATTGCAATATGCAAAAAGCAATATTACAGCAACAAACCTGTGTCCCAAGTAACCAAATTACTTTTTATGCAGGTTTATGCATTCCTCAATCCTTGTATTGCGACGGTTAAAAAGAAAGTAATCATAAATCCCTGTGTATTTTAAATACATAGGAGGACAAATATGATTTGGGATACTTGCTAAGAGCTGAAAAGGTTTTCTGTACAGCCTTAACTTTTAGCCAGAGCACAGACAAGGGAGGTTTAATCAGAATTTTTTTTATTCTCCAGTGCTTTCCTGCTGAGCAAACAATGTTATCAACGCTCCCTCTGTTTTATAAGAGCCTTTTAAATGCCCTCTGCAAGGCCACACACACTACAGTAGCTTACTTTGGTCATTATCGCACAATTATTTTGGTGCTGATGTCATAAATGACAGGCTTTCTGTGAATGGGCAGGGCGATTGGAACAGGATGTTCAGAGCTAAATTTAAAGATCGTTTGCAAGCAGCCCTTCCTTGGCTCGAGAGAAAGTGTGTGAAAGTTCAAAGGCATTTAGTAGGTTGGGTTAAATTCCATATATGATACGGGTGCAGCCAAGACTGTAAATTACGTGCCTGCAGTTACTTTGAAATGTAAACTTTTATTATTATTATTATTAATGATATTTATATATTATATAAAACAAGCGAAATATTAATGTCCTTCTTCTAGGAATGTTCCATTTTATGTGTGTTGTGTTTATGTTTATCAAAGACTCTGTTCATTCAGTAGTGTAATGTAACATGTTGATTTTGTCTTATTTATGGTCTTGATTTTAAAAGCCTTCAAATAAATGTATTATTTCTGGATAAACTTTTAAAATTATTTAATATTATTTTTTTCATGAATTGATATAGTTTTATATATGGTATATAATTATACATGGTATATAATTTATTTATTTTATATATGGGATATGGTTTAAAATTGTATTACGTTTAAAAAATAGTTTCAAAAGTTTATCCAAAAATATAAAAATCATTTGGAAAGCTTAAGCAACAACATGAAATTGAGGCCTATATGAGCAACAGTCCTAAGGCACATTACTAACAGCTATACTGCAGCGGCTTCCTAAAAAAATTCTCTTCATTAAGTCACTGCCTAGTGCCATCTACTGGTAAATAACTCTTTCGTTTGGTGAGTTTAGCAGGAAGAACAAAAGGTGTTCTATAATGCTCTCTTTAGTCACAATCATTTTTCAGTATAGCAACCTCTGTTTACCCCTATCTATTAATCCTTCATTAAGTCTCTCTGATATTTTCAGTCAAATAATATTTTTCTCTCCACTGGACTGGGAATTGTAGAATACCGTCAAGGGGAATTGCAATATTTAGAAAAATAAAAAAGCCAAATTAGAAAATAAAATCTCCAAATCTTTTTTTCCTCTATTTTGGTTATTTTGCCTAAAATTCCCTTTTGTTTTTACTTCTCTGCAATCTCTAGTTTTACACCAAAGTCTTTATCACCAGGACCACCTGATAGCTAGTGGTTTCAGACCATCAGGTTCTAAGAAACCCAAAATAGAAAATACCCATGTGACCATAGGTTTTCTGGGTCGTATAGCAGCAGTGATAAAAAGATATGCATCACCAACTGTGGACCACCAGGGACCAAGACCACCTTCCAAACATAACTCATTAATTAGTAGGACCTAAAATATGATAACATGGGTGGAGTTAAGGTGTCCCCAGATTATTCTGCACAGGGCCATGAGAATGCAAAGGGTGGCCCCGTTTATAATTAAATAAAATGCTTTATGCAAATCCTCCATTAGTCTCAGAATATCTGAGCAGAAAACATTTGAAATACATTCTAGTATTAAATGTTGATACCATTAGGACAAGTTCATCGCTAATGCACTGCCTTATCTACAAGGGCAATTTATAGCTAAAACAGGCAGATCATAAATTATTATCCCGAAATGAAATGTCACGTGCTGGTTAAGCACATGTAAATTGAGTTAATAAGTGCAGATTAAAGTGCTTGACCACCTGTTTCCTGTTTGGCTTTGTGGTGCCTATTTGTTTTGTGATCTAGATCTCTCCAATGACTAATTCAAACAGAAATGAAATCCATAAAAACAGTGCAAATCATTTACGACGGCCCATTAGGGGTTAATAAATAATATTTTATGCAATTTAAAGTGCCAATTCCTCTTATTTTTTGATGTTTACAGCCTCTCATTGCTCAGCATGAGCACGCAAAGATTGTAAATATTTGAACTTGTAATGAGGATGTTAACTTTAATTCTAATACATTTTAATGTCTTAAGGTGCTGGAGTGGACAAGTGACTATTAAGAAAGCAGACGAGAAAAGTACCACCTCCAAAACATACAAGACACATGGGTGGCATGGCTGTAATAGTGTTATCTGTCTGTAAGATTCTGTAATAGGTCCCATCATAATAATCGGCACCAGGGTTAATAATATCTTAATCCACCGCTGGTTATGAACTGCTATACTATAGAACAGGGGTGATCAAAAGGTAGATCTCCAGATGATTTAAAACTACAACTACCATGATGCTTTGCATGCCTTTAGAATGCTTTAGAATGACAAAGCATCATGGAAGTTGTAGTTCAACAACATCTGGGGATCTACCTTTTTTGTCAACCCTGCTATAGTATAAGATTACGCTCTCTGGGAGGTGAAATGGCTCTGACTTTTTTTTTTTTCACTTGCTTGCCAATAAATAGCATTGAAAGAACCCAAAACAACCAGTGGCTAGCTTAGCAACTGCTCATGAAACCTAGAAGCCACCATTTATACAAAATTAACATACACAAAGAGCAAGATATGAGAGAAAATATTTGACAAATTTTTAGCCACGGAGAGATCATCCTTCACAATGGAATTTTGACATAATGATAGAAAGTTATGGGAATGGCTAGAAGCTAGAAGAGGTTCAGCGAGCGTGTTTATAAATTCAGCCAGAATGACAGGTAGAACATGTTCTATTATTGAAGTTTGGTTAAAACACGAACTACAGTGGATTCTATTTCTCCTTGAGGGCATAACTACTATTTTAAAAGAACATTTTTCTATACCGCCATTATATATTTGCAAAAAATAATAAAATAAAAAAAGATAATTGAAACAAAAAAAAAAATACATTTCAATTTAGCAAAGGGTTTGTTTGAAACAGGAGACCTCTGTATTCAAGGGTATATTTATAGACTGTGAAAGGTAATACTGCCGTAATAAGCCACCAGCTGCCCCAAGACTTCATGGCAATAGTTACTTTTAAAAAGCTGTCTGTTCAAAACCTGGTTATCGTAAATGTAAATTAGAATGGAGATTTAAAAAGGATGCTAAAGGTTTTAAAAACTGTAACTAACATTTTTGTTTTTTTTTGCTTTTTTTTGTTACAGTTGTACATGATGCAATCTACATATAATTATTTATCTGCTTGGAAACCTAATATTTTTTTAAAGCCTAAAATACATAGCTTGTACATAGAATATGTAAAGGACTTCTATAGGCACCCAGACCACTTCAGCTTAATGAAGTGGTCTGGGTGCCAGGTCCAGCTAGGTTTAACCCTTTTTTCTATAAACATAGCAGTTTCAGAGAAACTGCTATGTTTATATTAGGGTTAATCCAGCCTCTAGTGGCTGTCTCATTGACAGCCGCTAGAGGGCTTCCGCGCTTCTCACTGTGATTTTCACAGTGAGCAGACGCCAGCGTCCATAGGAAAGCATTGTGAATGCTTTCCTATGTACTGGCTGAATGCGCGCACGGGTCCTGCCACGCATGCGCATTCAGCCGAAGAGGCGGAGAGGAGGAGGAGAGCTCCCCGCCCGGCACTGGAGAAAGAGGTAAGTTTAACCCCTTCCTCTCCATCCAGCCCGGCGCGAGGGGGACCCTGAGGGTGGGGGCACCCTCAGGGCACTATAGTGCTAGGAAAACGAGTATGCTTTTCTGGCAATATAGTGGTCCTTTAATGTTTAGGGCTGCCTTAAAAATGTCATCATGTACACCTATAGAGAAAGACAATGTTTTTAATTTGAGAGATCAAATAGAATGCATTGACTTCATAATTCTTTGGAATAATCTGTAAGGTTGCATAATTTTTGTTAGTGTAGTTGTGGCAGTAGTAAATTATGTGTAAGCAATCTGCTGCTGTGTTTGGGAATGCAGATTCCCAAAATGCCAGCACAACGTAGAAAATGTCATAAAAATAAACACAGTGATTGTGTAAATACACAGTTACTGTATATCATACTGACATTTTAGATTGTAAACAGTAATTTAATGCAAGATCTCTCCCTCTCCATCCTTCCTCTCCCTGAATGTTTACCTCCTCCCCAAGTACTGTTACATAAATCTATTGAACTAAGCAACACTGTCCTGGGGCGTTGGGATCCTGGCCTCACTCGGTACACTGCTAAGAGAAACAAGGCACCAAAACATATATTTTAGGTAGTGACAGTTTCATAAGTAGAGTGGGCTCTGTGGAGAAGGGGTAGTTTAAAAAAAAAAAAAAAAAAAAATAGAAACAAAAGAGAAATACATTAAATATATTTCTTTAATTGCAAAGGAGTTAAAATCTGGAAATAACAACAGTGAGCAGCGGTGAGGTAGGTACTAATAGGATGCACCGACCCTGCTGTCCACAATATAGTTATCCCATGTGCATGATTTAGTAGAACAGGCCCACTAGTAAACTATATTGCAAAAAGTAATTAACATGTTACCTATCTCACGGACACGATCTACTAAATTGTGCCCGCAACATAGTACAATGTTTACACAATGCTAAAAATACTTTCTCTGTCATCTCTGGGGTGCCATAACCGTATGATGTACATTCACTAAACAATTCATTGTAATCAACAAAAGAAAGACATTTGAAAGCGGCTTAGTTGAAAAAAACTTTATATTTCAACATGTCTATTTTAATTCAAGTTTTGCAAATCTGACTATTAAATCTTTACAATTCAATTTTTAGAGTAACATTATTGTAGCCTTGAACATCTAACTGTAAAATTCTATGGAATTGTCGACTGAAAAGGAGATTTCCAACTCAAACTAGCTTTTATAAAGTTTAAAATACCTTCATTTTTTTGTTCAGGACATTCAGCTGGGACACAGCAGGTCTCTGTGATGAAGTGATGCATGAAACGCGTTAGAACTGCCTGTGCTACTTTCCCTGCTTTGTCCCAAACTAATGTCCTCAATAAGAAATTAAGGTATTTTAAACTTTATGAAATATTTATTTTTTAAGGATTGTTCATATTGAATATTGATGCAAGAACAGAACCTGCGGCAAACTCACAGTTGAAGTGCTTTGCTCGAGCGTTGCAATTTTAACATGAACTGACCTGTAGCAGACAGAATTATTTTTGCTTTGTGTACTAACGCAGTATGATAATGTTTAGAATCTTTATGATCACTGGTAAATATTGAAATTTTTACACATGTGCAAATTATCTTACTTACAGGGAATAAAACAATGGGTACTGTCAAAGTCACAGCAACCAGAACTGCTACGCGAACACACAGGAGAAGAGTGTCAAATTTGTACACCTTAGTGTAGGTGTGAAGCAGCTCATCTCCAACATCTCCTGCAATTAAAAGGCACAATATGAACACCAATACATTCAAACATTTAATCACAATTAATCAGCTTAGATCAATTAGAACACATCTTGTCATGCTCCTATTAAAATGGACCATGCTGAACTATATAAATAAAAAAACAACGAGGGGGAGAGGGGGGTAATGGAAAGCATTGAAGTGACTCTACCACTTTTTAGTATTTCATAAAGATTTGAAATACTGATCCTGACTGCGTTAGAACGTCAGTGAAATTCTTACTCGATCCCTAGATACCATAAGACATAGTAGGGACTATTTTGTGTTATGGTACATTTAAGGTTGGCAAAAGCTGACAAAAATGATGATTTCCAGATTCAGACATCGATCTATGGAGGAACCTGCAGTCTCGCAGGATCATCCATAGAGCTCAGTGCACTTTGTACTACGGCGCATGCACGAGAGTATCAAACTGATGCGGCTCCCGGCAGATGGAGCCAGGAGGTGAAGTTGATGCACAGAGCAAAGATTCCTGTAGTCCTGAGGGACAGCTTCAGTTAATTACAACTACCTTCCACGGCACCACATGGCCACCAGACCATCTCTGGAGATACCACATTCTGGGTCACTGCAAAGTGTGCAAATCCCCCGAAAGTAACAGATGGACTTTAATGACACTTATTACATAGATTTTTAGTAGATTCATAATGAGTTGAGATCATAAAGTGCCACTTTTTTAAGAGTGTTCGGTCCTTTGTTGTTTTATACATGTGTATATACACTATTGTATGTACATAGATCTGCGTTTATACACAAACACACGCATACAAGCATATAGTTATTTTTGTTATTTTTATATCGCAGTTGCAGATTCCTAATCATCAAGTAACATAATAAAGATCACATTTATGAGAATACACCACATTTTAAAGCAGTCACCTGTTATTAAAAGTAATAAGCATTTACTTACCATAAAATGTAAGATAGCCAAAAAGGGCAGCAAAGAGATACATTGCCAGCATGGCAGCTATTGAGACATTCGATACATTCTGCATCTTTCTCCGAGATCGGCTGTAAGGGTTATATGAACATGCATTTGTTAATGTGAAATTGTTTTCTATTGCTTTTTGAACAAATACATATAAAAATTGAAGTTTCGTTTCCTTAAAAAAAAAAAAGCCAAAAAAATGAAAAGGACTTACATAACTTTCTATGGATCAGGAAATTTATATCTAAATTCTAAATAGTTAAAGGGAAGACAGTATTCAATTTATTTTCTTTTATTAGCTTCTGTCCTACTCCACAATCTGCCTGGGATCCTAAAGCCATTGTTTTACGTATGTATGAGTTTTTAATTTAAGGACCAAGCTTCTGGAATAAAAGGGAATCATGACATGTCACACATCTCATGTGTCCTTAAGGGGTTTAAAAATTTCATTTCAAGGCTTTGACTAACTAAGAACATGCCTCCAGGTCTTTATTGAAAGCAAGCCTAAAAAAAAAAATATTAGGCTACTATGCAACAGCTAGTCACATGACTTGTGATTTTCTATGTATTATTAAGAATATGAAAGAATTGATTCAATAGTTGACACCACTATTATATCATGCCAATAGTACAATATTCTAAGCTGCTAAGTTAATATAACTCTTTTTTATTAAAATTAAAAAATAATTAGTAATTTTATCCCCAGTCACCCCAAAGTTTTTTGCATTTTGTACCTTTTCAGCTCACTGTAGATTGGCAAAACTTCTGGATGACACACAAACGCAAAGGCCAAAATTGGAATGGCATAGGCTGTCTAAAGGAAAGAAGAGATTATTATTATTATTATTATCATTCTTGGACAATATTAATTAACAAATAACTATGTATACAAACTAATGAAGACACGATTACATGTATGAACCCAACAAAATATAATCCTATAATAAATTAAAAATGGAAGCATATTTATTATGTTTTAAACCACCAGCCCCCAATATTTCTGCAAAGGAGGAAAAAAAGAACAATTTTGTAAACACATAATTTACATTTTATAATCAAAATTTCAGTTTTGTGATACTTTAATATGCTAGCTATAAATCGGGGTTTCAAATAAATATAACATTTTGAGAAAATAATAAATGTTTTAATAATTTCATGTATCAGTTACTGAAATTGGTACAATGCTATCACTATAAGAAAGATACATTTGGATGGTACGGGTAAAGGTACAGTTAAAGATTGGAAATAATTCTACCTGAGAATTGAACACAAAGTACTTGGGCTGGCATTTGTCATCTGTGTGGGCTTCATATTCCACTCGGCTGCCTTCATTCTGGTTTTCGTGGTCATTGAGTTCTGTTGTTTGTCCTTGTGTATAATCCATCATGAAATTTGCTTCAGAACTGTCAGTGATATTTTGTACGATGAATGGGTGCAGGTCGTAAGTACTGTTGCTTGTCAAATTCCCAATATTGTGGTCCAGTAGAGGTAAAGGGCATGGTATTTGCGTTTTCTTATAAATGACCTGGAATGCAAAATGAAAGAGACACAGTGTTAAAGTATCTTAATGCAAAATGGACTGTCATGAAAACTTTCCAGATGTTAAAAATACATGTTGTAAAACTGTGTGTAGTAGATTTGTGTTTGTTGTGTGAAAGTTGTATATTTTTGATAATATATGGCTGATGACAAGAGGAAGGTACACACTTGGCTGGGAGAAGAGGAGCAGGGTTGAAAGGCATCATCTGCTGAAATTTGGGCTTAAACCATTCAAAAATGGTTTAACTACTTAAGGAAAGATTGCACCCAGGACCTCCAGGCACCATAACAACATCAGTGAGATGTTCATGTCGTGCCCAGAGAGTTCCATTGACAGAAATCTGATAAATGTTTTTAATTATTAAAAACCCTAAACATTTGTTTCATTGGTCCACTGCCTGCTGTACATGGTTTATGGGAAGGCCTTCTTACTCATAGATTCTGTTATAGTCTTGGAAGCAAATTTGATATTTATTGGCATGAAAACTTCAATTTGACTTTTTAGGTTGGCTTAAGTCAGTCTTTTTACTGTACACATAAACAGCTGTAATTGTTTAGCTTGCCTATTGACCAACTTTAAACAATTGACTTGAACTGACTTAAAAATTTGGTTGGCAGGTACAAGTGCATAGACCCCTTGTATCACTCAAACTTGCTCAACACAAGATCATGGTGTGCATTGGAGGTCCATAAACCACAGTTAAAAGGATACTGGCATTTCTCTGGAAATTAACCCCTTAAGGTTACAACTTCAGAAATAAAAGGGAATCGTGACGGAATATTTCCGTCATGTGTCCTTAAGGGGTTAAACTATTGAATAAGAGATTGATAATCACTCATACATTGTGTTAACCTTTTTTTGTTTCCATGGGATACTACATTTTATTTAAAATTTACATTAAAGATTTCAAAAATTTCCCTATAATGCAGTTTCGACCAGGTGCAGCCATTTCACACACCATATGAGGAGAAGTTAAAAGCTGTTTAATTTCTCCTCTTGTCTGTATGTTTTCTCTATTCTGACAGGTGCGAGAGATAGAGTCTATAACAATCATTGACACGGATCCAAGATGGAGCCATCCAACTGCAGAATAAAGAGGTTTGGATTTCCATTTCTACATTTAATTTTATCTTTATCCGTCACAAATGCATATTTTAGAATAAAATATAGGGATAAGTAAATATAATACTAGAATTCTTGGGGAGTGCAAGGTCCCCTTTAAGAACTGCTGTATCAGTACACATAGTATGTAATATATATGTAGAATGTAGAAATATAACACCTACGAGGTATTATGCCCACAATAGTTATAGCTCGGCCAATCTATCTTCTAAATCTAATTAAGATCACTACTTACCACACTGACAAAAAACACCATACAGCCAAGAGAAAATCCACTTGTGTATCCAAGATACCCTATTTAATTCAAAAGAAGAAATGAACAAATATGAAAGTACTAAATTCCTATTTTACAAATATACAGCACAAACGGAACCCCTATAAAATGAAAGATTGACAGTGAGAAATGTCTTCGAAATCCTCATATGTCAAACACATCGTTTTCCCTTCTATCAGATTCTTATGTAAACTCTACGATAAACAGTGTTTTAAATAATTACCTAAATTCTTTAGCAGAGATAGTGGAAGAATTATTCCAACTGACACAAATATGACGAGGTAGTTGCCATTCAGGTACCATTCTCTGAATATGGAAGAGAATGAGTATATTGTATCAGATTATGTAGCTGAAAACTTATAGAAAACTGATATACGTCCTTTTTATTTATATGGTGATAATCTAGGCAGTAAGCGTAAAACACATACCCGGAATTTTCTTCAAGGCCCATAAATGTTCGTATTACTTCAGGAAGTTCATATTTTACAATAAATAGGTAACTTGACATCGCTGCAAAAGAGAAGATGGAAAATATAAATTCTATTTTCCCCAAATTCGCAATGAACAAGTATACATTGTAACTTTGTAACACAAATTTCACAATTTCACAGATATCTGGGATTAGTACCAACATAAAACCCTTTTTTATTTGTACATTCGTAAAGTAAGTGTTACGTGGTATTATATACTTGTCAGATAGATTGATCATGTCATCGGTTTATGAATGTCTTTCTAACTTGACCACTTTTCAACTGTGTACTACGTTTTACAAGTTGATTATCAAATTATGGTAACTTGTTGTGTAATATATAAAAATGTAGGATTAATGAACTCTTGGGATGGAATGCTTCAATATTTTGTTAACAGTTAACCGAACAGTGATAACATGTGCCATTTCAAATATGATAACAAGGAATAGGCCATAGTTAGATCAAAGCCAACTTAAAAGGATACTATAAGCACCAAGACCCTTACAGCTTATTCTAGAAAAGGCAGTGTTTACATTGCTGTCTAGTCACTCAGCCAATAGAGGAACGTCCTGGTTTCATCCCTAAAATCTTTGTAGGACCAAGTTTCAGTGTTAATGGAGATGATGAACGCTCTCCACAAAGATACTCCGAGGAGATGCTGGCTGGCACAATGAAGCAATTGCTGCACATGCGCACTCGGAACCTAATGATTTCATATGGATTGGCTGATATCAACAGTTTTGGTGATCTAAGCCAGGGGAGAAGCTGGTGTGCATGAGGGAAAAGAAGGTAATTAACTAATGTTAGAGTGATCCTTTAAAATTACTCTTTTAATTTGAAAGTTTGTTGAAAATTAAAACATTTATAACATACACTTTTCAGATATTATATAGTTAACATCAATGAGGATATCTGAATAGACTGTCTTTAAAGAACTAAAAGAAATAAGAGTTCTCAATGTTAACAACTTGACAGAATTTAGCACAAAACAAAAGAAAATTGGTGCAAAGTAAATAAAACGAACTTAAAGGACCACTATAGTGCCAGGAAAACATACTCGTTTTCCTGGCACTATAGTGCCCTGAGGGTGCCCCCACCCTCAGGGTCCCCCTCTCGCCGGACTCTACGGGGTGGAAAGGGTTAAACTTACCTCTTTCTCCAGCGCCGGGCGGGGGACTCTCCGTCTCCTCTCCTCCTCCTCGGCTGAATGCGCATGCATTTACAATGCTTTCCTATGGACGCTGGCGTCTTCTCACTGTGATTTTCACAGTGAGAAGCGCGGAAGCGCCTCTAGCGGCTGTCAACGAGACAGCTACTAGAGGCTGGATTAACCCTATTGTAAACATAGCAGTTTCTCTGAAACTGCTATGTTTATAGAAGAAAGGGTTAAACCTATCTGGACCAGGCACCCAGACCACTTCATGAAGCTGAAGTGGTCTGGGTGCCTATAGTGGTCCTTTAAAAAAATTAAAAAAAACTAACCTTTTCCTGGTTTCAATAAATCAAAATGAATGTTTCTATCAACTAGTTGCTAAATCTGTTTATTAATGTTTTATTCTAACCCAATAGTTATAATTTTCTGTAGTATTATATTATTTTGTAATATCATCAGCTAGATTTAATTTCTTTTTAAATGTATTCATACCATTAAAATACTTTTCTCATTTACCTATATGACATGAATCATTCTTTTTTTTAAGTTTGCTTTAATTGTACATTTTGCCCGGGTACTAATGTAAGCTACTTATGTAACTAATGACTAAATAATCCTTATTTTACGGCAAACTAATTCATAGTTAATTGTAAGCAACACAAACTATGTGAGCTGGAGTTAAGTATTATTGTGGATTAAATCAAAGAGAATCCGTGGAGCTCTAGGAGAATTTCATTAGGATATATTTAATGGATGAGACTAATATTAGCCTTCCTTTATAGCAATGTAAAAGTATCATAGACACTCATATTTTTCTCATGAGGTCATATTCCTAAAGGAACAATGATTACCACAGAAGGAAGAATCAAATATGTTTTAATGTAAGCACAGATAGGAGGAGAATTCAAGTTTAAAATAGGCTGACAGATCTATTTGTGGAAATATTATCTCAAATGTGGTTAATCTGGCTAAAATTTTTTATTATTTCCGATTTAACAATGTTTATTCAACTCTATTAATTGTGATATCTTACCTCCGATGTTCTGCATTGTGATAGATATAAAAGCTGCAAGTTTTCCTGGCCATCCAAACGCCCTTTCACCTAATTTTTCATAAATTAATGAACCTATTCGGATAGAGAATAAACAACATAAATAACACAAAACAAGCATATGGAAAAACACTTGCATTAAAGAACTCGAGTCCAAAATATTATTAACCTCTTAAAAATGATGATAATCTATATTGTCATAATAATATTTTTTATGGTTCTATTTTCAAATGGAAAATTCTACTCAGATAACTGCTGCAGTGCTGACTGGTATACACTCTGGAATACATGTTTGTGGGCTGCTGAATACTATAGTCACTGCTGTCACCGAAGGGTAGTGAGATTACACAAAAGTGCTGCCACACACCCCATGTATGCCCTATGTTAATTGGTTTGTAGGGAGTCATAAGAATACCAAATTCTGTTTTGCCTGAAATCAGCAAGGTGTATTGTTAGTGTAGGACTCACCTAAGAGGTTTGATGTTAGTACCAATATGCATGAGATAGAAGACATACCTCCTTCTTTTGCAGTCTTCAGTAGAAGGTGGACAGAGTACAGGGATAATATTGCAACTGCAAGAAGAAGAATCCTGCAATAATAGTAATATTAGGGTAAATCAATTTAAAATGAACAAACAGAGCAATCTACATTTTTGTAAGTGTTTAATTGTTACTACACAACTGTTGAACTTCAACTCTTACACCAAATGTATCTAGACACACCTATGACACCAATAGGTCTACAAGCATAAATAACAAATAATATCAGTAATTATTCACCAAATCTAAGTTTGGTCAGTCAATTCTACATCGGCCTACAAAGTTTAATGTAGAAAAGGCAGTGTATACAATGCCACCTATATTACCTGTAACTCAGACAGCCAGTAGAGATACTTCCTGGTTTAGGCCCTGCAATCTTTGTAGGATGAAGGTTCAGTGTGCATGGAGATGCTGAACATTCCCGTAGAGATAAATTCAGTTAATGCATCTCTGAAGAGATGCTGACTGGCGCAGTGAGGCAATTGCTGTGCACGCTCTTTGGCCCCCAAAGCTTCCATATGGATTGGCTGAGATTATCAGTTGCAAAGGCAAACTTAGATAGAACTCAGCTGAGAAGCCTTAGTAGCAGTAATTCAAGTTGTTGTGGTGCCAAGAGGCCCCTAGTGTCGGCTTAACTTCAGGGGTTAAACCGTTTTTGAAAAGTGACAAAGTGACTCCAGTGCTATTATCTGTACCCCTGTCCTTTTATTTCTTTTAGATTCTTCAGACAGGAAGCCTCGGATTTTGTCGGACAGGGAAACTGATGATTGACTGAGAGTGTCAGCTGATGCTCTCATCCAATCAATGCTACCCCTGTCCGAGGCAGTCCGAGACTCCCTGTTTAAATAATATCAGAAAAGTGGAAGGACAGGCGTAGAGCGAAACACATTTAAGTAAGATTTTGTAATCTTTTACAACGGTTTAACCCCTAAAGGTAAGCTGGTGAAAGGGACCTTCTGGTATGTAAAATAACTACTTCACTGCAATGAAATTGTTATGCTGCATTAAGGAGGTTTCTTTAAAAATTCAATATATATATATATATAGAGAGAATTAGTAATTATATTTACCATTAGGAGGATGATTTTTTTTTGATGATACAGAACATTTTTATTGCTGCATATTCCCCCAAAAATGGTTTGTTGCTAAATATACAAAACATAAAGGTCAAAATGTGGATAGGTTGGTCAATGAATATATTGTATAAAACTTTCAACCCACCCTCTTCAAGTTGGACAAACTTCTAACCTTTTTAATTAAGAAGTTTCTATATGTTGCAGTGCTAAACTTGTGTTAACATTGAAAATATGAGTCATATAATGTTTGAAACATTCTAAAATTACACACAATGACTTTATTATAGAGTGGATGTACTGGGAATGACTATGTTTTAATTAAAACTGTGATTGTACCAGTGAATTTTATCACACAGTATGAAGATTTCTCTAGCCTTTACATAGCAACGTAATAACTTTTTATGTTTTACATTTTTTATTTTATTTTATAATAATGAGAACAAGCCTGTGTGTGAGGAAGGCATCTTTTGTGGCCGTTGATGTAAATTGAACAGGCAGCCATACATCAACAACGCATGACCCCATATTGCTAGAAAGAGTTTGACTGATGCAACTTCATAGCAGAGTTGCTCACATTGAAATGATGCAAGCTATGGATGAAACTGTACCTTGTCTCAGCCATGCTGTAAAGGCCTTTGCTCTCATTTCTGACTTCAACATACGTGCAAAGGATACAGACTTCACTTTTTTAACTTAATAAATTTGCGAACTACATCAAGTCAACATGCAGCCACTAATCTGGTCATATTATCAGCAGATGATTGCACCAGCAGACTAATAGTACGTACTTTGTTCTCTCTGTTATTCTGGATTAGGCTACAACCATGTGTATATCATGACCAGAATATTGATCATGCTAAAATTTACCGTCTCCAAACTGAATTCTACTGGATGAACACTATACATTAAATTCTAACAAAATAACTATATTATAACTGAAAGCCATGGTGGTAGAAACATCATAGTTTATTACTGCTGCAGTCACTAAGGCAACAATTATTGCTGAATTGCACAAGCAAATCCTAAAAGAAAATGTCAAGGGACTTGTGCACGGGCTAAAGCGAGACAAACATTCCGTGTCTAGTCAGATCCTGTTTCTCACAGTTCTAAAGCCCTAGTCATGTCAAGTTCTTTCCAAAGACACTACATACTGTAGCCATCATCATTGTGTAGTATCAAAATAGTTAGTATTACTATATAAAAGAGTAGACACATATCTCCTGTTTTTTCTGAGGTCATGAGTTCGTTATTGAAGGGGCAATGAGCCATAGTTTGAGCAATCAATAGTTTCTAGTTATGTATTTTTCACATCCTCTGTCACAGGGCTAGGCAACCAGGACTCCAGATGTGGACTACATCTCCTTTGATACTTTGTCTGAAATATGGCTGCAAGAGCATTATGGGAGATGTAGTCCCCAACATCTGGAGTGCTTAAAGTTGCCCACTCCCACGCTATAGAATCAGTACCAAAGCGTCAGACCTATAAAGCTCCATATTATATGTTCCAATCATCATCTAAATAAAAAAAATACATGTATAGAATCTGATGAAAGTATAGCATAACAAACCTTTATAGTTGGCATTATTTAAGACATTGATCCAACACTCACTGCATTTGTTATTAATATTATTATTATTATTATTGCCATTTATATAGCATCAACAGATTCCGTATCGATTTACAATATTATGAGAGGGGATGTAACTATAAATAGGACAATTACTATTACAATTAAAAAACTTACAGGAACGATAAGTTGAAGAGGACCCTGCTCAAACAAGCTTACAGTCTATAGCAGATGGAGTATAAAACAAATTAGGACAGGAAATATCAATTAAATAAGGTGGGAGTGAAGCAGAGCTGGAGGAGAGAGTAGAGTGCTGCCCTATAGGAGAGAGCAAGAGACAGGTATGTGAGGTAGAGGTTACTCTAGGAGGCCATAAGCTTTCCTACAGAGATGGGTTTTAAGGCACTTCTTAAACGATTGAAGACTAGGGGAGAGTCTGATGGTGGTAGGTAGGCTATTCCATAGGAAGGGAGCCGCCCGTGAAAAGTCCTGCAAGCGCGAGTTGGCCGTACGGGTGCCAGCAGGGGACAGGAGACGGTCACAGGCAGAGCGGAGAGACCGAGAAGGGGCATACCTATGGATCTCTGCTTAGGCTTTTCTTCAGGGCTTGGTTGCTTGGGTGTTGATAATCAATGCTGTTATTAGAAAACTCACAAATTGTCTTGTGAATCTGAAATTTGGCAACTTGTGGCATTTTATTTTTTAGCCATAAAATCCACCATATATTTCCTTCACCCATTGATCAATCCTGTGCATCAGCTGCACATATTTGGTACCACTCCTTTTTGAGAGAGCCATTTAATGTCATTCATTTGTTCTGAGATTTGTAGGCATGAAGTGCTTGCTTCAGGTTGTACCAAAACATTTCTGTAATGATACAGTAAGGATTTTTGCTTGGTCATCATAAAACCTTAATTTTCTTCTCCTTCTTCCATTCAGTTGGAGATTTGCTTGTGTTTGTTAGATTTACTCATATTCTGCTAAACTTGATCCCATCGCCGAGAGCCCTGACATTTTCTTTTAGAATTTGCTAGTACAATTCAGCAATACTTATTTCCTTAGTGACTGCAGCAGTCATAAACTATGATGATTCTACCACCATGGCTGACAGTTATGATATGGTTATTTAGTTAGAATTTAATGTATAGTGTTCGTCCGGTAGCATACTGTACCATCCTGGTGGTCTTTCACAAACTTAAGAAACGCAGAAATGCTATTTTTGGAGAGGAGTTTTATCTCCTTTCATATCCCTCCACTGAAAACCACAATTTTTATGACTTGTGAATTCTCCATTGCCACATATATCTCCATATCTTCATAAACTTTTACCCTGAGATGTTTTCCTGTTGTACTGGATATTTTAATAGATTTTAGTTTGATGACCATGATGCATAAAGGTAAAAATGCTGCTGAAATTCATTTGACTACTATCAACCTGGTCATTGATTAATGACCAACAAGTTCAACTCTATTTTTTTTTTTGAGGGTCTCATAAACCTATTTTAATTGGGGACATCATTCAAAATCAAAAACCTGTGTGGCTAATTGAGGTCTCCAATCAATTATTGTGCTTTGTTTAGAGGAAAGGGCACCTAAAGCTCAAACGTAATTGAAACATCTGTCTCAAAGTCACCTCCTTAATAGAGTTAGGTTAGGTAAAACTTCAAATATTTATTTAAATAAAAATAGTGATATTGCATCATAGAGGTGAGAATAAAAACAAACATTTTTTATATTAAGTGACTTGTTTATAATTGTATAACTTTTTAAGTCAATTTAATTGTGATTGAGACCATTGTTTGATTTATTAACACAATATATTCATTTGGGTAGCAAACACATCTGTTCTCAGCAACAACATAAAGTACATGAAAATATAATATAGGTAAGCTTTTATGTTTCTGAGGTCACATTAATGGTAAAAAAATAAGGTATTTGGTTTATGATTATATTTATTATCCTTATTTGTACTTACACAAAAAGTATGATGCCCGTATTTGCCATCGCATAGGAAAGTCCAAGAATTCCGCTGCCCATGATGGCATTACCAAGGTTAAATACCGACATTCCAAATGAAGTGGTCCCAGGGTGCTTTTTTGGTAAAAGTAAACAGGCAGATTAGCAAATAAACAAAAAAGACGAGAACATATTTTATATGCTTGATGTACCCTATGTGATTAAACAGGGATTTACGAAAATACGTCTATCGCATCCCTAGCTTACTGATTTCTCAATATTCTGATTTTTTAACGGTGATACGTGCACAGAGTTCATAAAATTCACGAGTTAATAATTACACATTGTAAACTTATTGACACTGTCCTAGATTTACTAAGACTGCTGTGTCAAAGTAACATACGAGAGAGGGTCAAGGGTTAAGGACAGTATTTCAAAAGGGAAAGATGAGACTGGTATTTCAGTGACTGATGGGCATTGGGAGCCAGATGGTGTGCTAAGCATCTTGTTTTTCTTTCAACGAAGTCCTAGTCAAACAAATTTATATTATTCAGCAAATTATACCAAAATGGAGCAATTCTGCTGATAAGCCCAGTTTTGCTGATAACCAATGCACAGTCATACTTACATGCTCCTCTGTATATTCTTCCAATTTTTTCTTTCCAGGAAGTCCATTTGTAAGGAATTTTTGGCTTTCTGCATCTTCCCCATCAACATATTGACTGCGCAATAAAACAAAAATATAGGTCATATATCTGTCTTTTTTTTTTTTAAATAAACAGTTACATCTTGTTTTGTTCCCTACATTTCTATCCTATAGATGTTTTGAAGAACGCACAAACAAGAAAAAAAAAATTACTTTCAGAACACCATAAAACACACATCATTTCATTTCAAAAGGAAATATAATTAAAAGGACCTCAATAAAATGGTCTGGTTACACTAACAGCCACTGGAGACACTTTCACCTTAATGTCTGTGAAACACTCATCATGTGACCATTGCAGTCCCCCATACAGGTCCTACGGGGAAACTTAGGATATGTGTGCAGCAGTAGACATGCATGCACATCAGGTTCCTCAGAGAGGAGCATTTTATGAGCCATCACAGAGCAGGCCATGCCTCCTCCATGACATCTAAGGTGGAGGCGCTGGAAAAGGTAAGTAAAACGCATTGTCATTTTTTGTATGGTAGACATGTGGGGGAAGGGGACAGACCTCTATAACTAGGGACAGGGACAGTAGAGCGATACAGGCTTGTATTCCTAATACTTTAGTGTTCTTTTAAATGGAATGTAGTTATACAAACAATGCATCAACAATTCCTCAAATATATATAATTTACTTATCTATTATTTTCTTAGGGCTATTCACTAACATTTGAGTTGTTGAGCATTCAAAGTGAACTTCACATTTTAGACCTGTATTGTAGAATTTATTAAATAAAGGTGAAAATATTTGAAAAGATTCACGGACTCACTGATATTTGAAAGCACTCATACTAATGCATGCAAACGACTGACACTTTTGTGAATAGCTCTGTCAGTGTCTGTTATCACAGTAAGGTCGGTACCTTTATGACATGCTCCTGCCTACTGGGCACATGTCAGAGACATATTTGTACGTCAGAAAAAACATATTTTGTAGGTAATAAGAAAAGCACATGCAGTTTGAGGAGCTTGTACCGTAACTTTTACAAGGTACAAACAATTCATGGTGCTTCAAATGACACCACAAGATTAAAAGATTAGTGCTGGAAATTCGTTAATTAATTAACAGCACATTTTATATTTTATACATATAATTATTAATAATAATAAATGTATTAAAGTATTATTGAAAGGATATACAATTCAGAACGTTAATTATTGTAGAAATTGTTTAATTCTTTCTCAGTTTTAGTTACAGTTATATTTGAACATGCTAGCAGGGTCATGTTACCTGCTAATAGTAACTTTTTCAGAATCCATTTCTTTGCAATATCCATCTTCAAAGCTCTCTCCACTGTTGCTGTCATCGTCACACTCCATGTTGACTTTTTGCAATTCCATTCGATCCATTTAAACACGTCAGTAGTTCACCGATTGACAGGTGATCTTCCTAAAGTGCAAACAGTATAGCTTTTTTTCTAAGTGTTCTCACGCAATGTGTTGGGTTTCAGGACACTTTGTTCTGCAAATAAAATCCAAAGAAGCCTTTACAATTCTTCTCAAAATCAGATAAAGGACTGTGAATCATAACTTGATAATATTTTCTCTCCATCCAGAGAGATACTGCAAGAATCTATTAAGCCAATAATTACTGAAGCCATTAATATTTGATTGGCACCTTTTTCAATGGCATTATTTATATTTGATAACATGTCTTGCAGTTCAATTTTTTAATAGATAGTGAAATAAAAAAATAAAAAACAAACAAATAACAAATATGCACAGTATAGCATGTACGAGTAGGCAGGTAAATTCAAAATTAAAATGTATTCTAAGTCTGCAAATGCGGTATCACAAATATCACCAAAGCTGGTATAAATGAGAGTTCATTTAATTCTGTCTTTTATCCTATGTTATCTAATATTTGCAAAGATTAATGTAACAAACACAGAGTGTTTCCACATTTACATGTGCCTTGGGTTTGGAAAATATTTAATTCTGATTGGATAACTGTCATTTCATGTTGCTGAAGACATAACTAATTCAAAAACATTTGCAGGGTAAGTCACAATAGTAAGAATTCATAGTTAATTCAAAGTGAATGTCAAATGTAAGGCCAGACTAGTCGAACTGAAAGTATAGCAGACTTAAAGAATTTGGCAGGTTGAGCTATTTTAGCCTTAAATTTGACATACACTTTAAATTCACTTTAAATTCTCGCTTCTGTGAATAACCCTGCCAGTATTCTTAATTTAGTAAATAATAATGTTAATAATAATAATAATAATGTTAATGCGATCCGCCTACTCTTCACAATCCTACGTTTAAAAAATAAATAAAAAATGGTTATTCTTTTATTCAACTATAATGGTGTTCAAACATACATAAAAATATATCATCTCAAATTCATATATTATTTATCATTTAGAATTAGTAAGTTGAACTGCCACTTAAAATGTGCACATTTGCATTAACACACAAAAACAAATAACACAATTCTGTTAACAAATTTATATTACCCTCAGATTTAATCGAGGAAATTTACAATTTTTTGAAATATTGTTTTTCTGGTAAGTCACACAAGAGTTGAAATATTTCCTCGTTATAAATAATCCAACAGTATAGTGTTCAAAGACAAGCATACAGTGTAACATTAAAGAAGCACATACCTTCAGCTTAAATCTGGATTACAAAAAAAAATGAAAAACAAAAAATTCTGGACAGCTACACCAGGTGAACAGTAGAGTAAAGCAAGTCCTTCACTAGTGTAATATTTAAAGACAAGAGGGAGTGTATCCTCTAAACCAATCAAAATGGACAAAAAAACCAAACCCTTTGCCGATTGCGTCAGGTTTTGCAGATAAAGCACGATTACGCCATTCACTGTGTACTCAATGAATTTGGCTTTACACATATTCTTAAAACAAGTAACTGGTTTTGTGTCCTGATTCACAGAAAGATAATAACACATCTATGTTGCCGTCTGCAAATTCCTTAAACTCATTGACCTAATACTTATATTTTTATTTGGTAATAACTTACATCTATTTAATCTATGTGACATTATACAAAGGCCAGGAGATGCATAGTCTCCTGGATCCATAAAGGGGTCAACTGTTCATGTACAGAATGCTCAATACTGTTACAATTTACTGAGTGGTATTATGGCTTCACCAGCTAAAAAAAAGACAATTTGGGGTCAAAATGGTACACCTAAACATAGGCCTAATGTACAACTAGGCAAGTTGTGTCACAACAAATCCTTTTTTCAATGCCATGGTGGAGAGCAACACGATGGGCAAATAAAATGCCTATTTTATCTTATTTGTGGCACTGAAACTTCAGACCCTAGCGTGTGATTTTAGAGAGACAATCAATTCTCTTATATGGAAAGAGATGATTATCTCTCATTAACACAAATAAATAATACAATAAAAAGTGAGTTCCACTGTATACTTAATACACAAAGGGCCAGGAGATACTGAGTCTCCTGGGCCCATATTGGCCTCTTACAATGGACACTGAGATGCCAAGCCTTTCAGGCATTATTTTGGCACCATGATGGGGCACTGACATTGTTAATCTCTCAACATCCCAAGCATGTATTTTTTTTACTGTTTACTATTTATATGTACAGCTATAATCACACCAATTATTTTCCCAGCATTGTGTAAAGCCTGCACTTATACTGGGAAAATAGAACTTCTGTCAAATTATGTTTAGAAGCCAGCCTGAGAGCAGTGATAATAAATAGAATGGTTTAAAAAATATTTCTGAGCTTAACTCCCTTAGCAGCAGTGCAAGTCTTCGTGTTACTTAATGAATCAACGTGCACAAGATTTTAAAAAAAAATCTATGATTGCAGCTCACAGATTTTACCTGTAGTTAAACATTGTGCAATATTAAATATACAAGTTTACACTTAGTTCTTTTTTTTTATTTCACGGAGGGAAAGCTCGGCAACATATAAGTGTTTTTTTTGTAGACTCTCTAATGCCCCTGTGAGCTGACCTGGATAAAGACAGACAATATTTGTGCAACAAAGAAGAACATTTTCAGAATGAGGCATTATAATCTAGTAGACCTTTTTTTTTTTTTACTGCATACTGTTTGGCGGTGTTCCCAGACTGTCGCTACAGTAACTGCATGCAGGCTAAAACCAGGGAAAGGCTATATAACACACATACCTATGATCAAGATGTAGATATAGTTTAAATTTAAAACTGCAGAAAAAATATAATTGTTTTACCTTTTACTATACATTGCAACTGTCTGGGATGATACTCCATCTTAGAATGTTAGCTCACCAAAGGTCATTGTGCAATACATAGACATACCTCTCAATTAGCCCTATTTAGGAAGGATGGAAGATCCCTATTTTGGGCCCGAATCCCTCTGTCCCACTATTCTATCCTAATGTCCCTCTTATTGTTTGTGTACCTGAGTGTATCACAAAGCTCCACGGCAATAATGCTCAGTCTAGTTTAGAAATCAGTCTGTGTAAATAAGATACATTCTTGTTCTAAATCAATTGTTATTAGTAAGTCACCTAGAGTAATGTCTAAGAACAGCCAACCTCTTGTCACACCCCCTCTTACACCCCTAAACGTAATGTGTCCCTCTTTGTCCATTTGAAATGTTGTGATGTATGGATAAACCTTTACTTTACTTTCTTGACTGTTAATTTTAAAGGAACACTATAGTCACTAGAACAACTACAGCTTATTGTATTTGTTCTGGTTAGTATAGTTAGTCCCTGCAGGCTTTGTGCAGTAAACCTTTACATATACATCCTCTCCATATGCTATGCACAACAAAAATCACCTTTCCAGGAGTAGGAGAAGTGCTGCTTCGGCGGTCTTATGCCATAAGGCCGGGCTTTTGCAACATGATGGTGGATGCCGGCCGCTGTGGATCCACACTGTTATGTAGTCCCACCTCTGTTCACAGTGGTAGCAATGTCGACGTGCTGGTGACGTCATGCAGAGGACGCGAGTGAATGTTTTGGGGTCAAAGGTCGGGTACGGCCAATCGGATTCACAAGAGGGATATTTAAACTCACTCATTTCTTCCACTCATTGCCCTGTCGTGGTTTCCCTTTGATGGTTATCTGAGAGTGTGTTCCTGATCGTGTTTCTTTGGTTATTGACTTTGGCTTCGTTCTGACTTATCTGAATTCTGGTATCCCTGACTATTGGCTATTCCTTGCAACTGTGTTTTGTTTTGTGTTCCTGACCTCGGCTAGTATTTCGACTATGTCGAGCCATTCTAAGGTCCGGTTAGACGTTATCCTTAGTTCTAAATGTGATACTAATACTTTGTGTTGAATCAATTGTAATCCTGACATAAACACTGTGACATGCATGGAGATACTGAACAGGGAGCTGTTTAGAGGCAGATCAGAGACAGAGCCAACACAAGCAGACTGGAAGAAATTTAAAATTTTACTATATATATGGGGGGTAAAAGGGGCTGGGGGAGGGGGGATAAGAGGGGGTGCTAGATAGTGATTTTAACACAATAGGGTCAAAATTACATATTTGTGTTCCTGTCCCTATAATGTGTACTTACTTCCCATACTGAGGCAACAATAATATCATACAGTACAAGTTTCTAATTATATATCAGGATGCTACAGGTAAAGGTGAGTATAATAGCGAGGGAAAAATGATGTCCAATCTGACATTTTTGAATTATATATACAATCCAGGAGACAAGGTACCACAAGTAAAATACTGGAAACAAGCCTAATAAACAGAGGAAGACAAAGTGATTCTGATAATAAAAAAAATTAATAATTTGTAATGTTTGGTGAATGGCTTGCAGTACACCTGCAGCAAAGCAGGCAGTTATTAAAGCAGAGCAGGGTGTTTGATGTCAGGGCTCTTGTAGCTAGAGGTGTGGAGCATGGTACAAATTAACAGGGGTATTAAATAAAAAGGTGCATATAACACCTGTGTCCAATATGTAATTTTCTTTGTCTGAAAAGGTCATTTATGAAAAGTCAGCTGATGCAACAGACTAAAATAGTTTGTAAATACAAAGGACAAACCTTAAACGAAGCTTGGGTTACTTACAGCTCACCAGTAAAAGCACTGTGGGTTGTAGTTAATCCTAGATTGTGGTTTACTTGAGGCTTCTCAGAGACAGCTGGTAATCCAGGTAAAGTGAGGTCAGAAATAGCCCTGGAATAAAATTAAAGATTGCAGGTAAATCGCATAAACAAAATCACAAATTGGTAAAAATGGTTTCATCAAAAATATAAAGAAAACCATCTCAATCAACAATCACTAGCAGAGATTATACACAAAGCAAGCAAATAGAAAAATTAATGAATATAAACAGTCTGTGCTTGAACGTATAACTTTCATTTATCTACATCGAATCTCATCTGTCACTTGCCTGCCTAGTCCAGCAGTTTTTCTAAATCACTCTGTACGAAAGTAACATCTTTTTCAGACAGTACTAACTTATCTAATTTTGTGTCATCTGACATACTGACACATGATTTTTAATGCACCTTGCAAGATCATTAAAGGAACACTATGCCCTATAATTCATACAGCATTAGGAATACAAAACAGTTTTTGAAAGGGTTAATATACCTTCCTATGTGAAGTTGAAGACGTGAGGATGTCCAACGTTGTGAGGACGTCCAGTGTGACAAAGCATGAGGAGGTCCAGCGTAGTTTCACGGAGTTAAACTCTGTGAAACTGCAGGAAGCACCTCTAGTGGCTGTCTGATAGACAGCCACTAGAGGCAGTGTTAACCCTGCAATGTAAGCATTGCAGTTTCTCTAAAACTGCAATATTTTACATTGCAGGACTAAGGGGGACAGGGATACTGCATCCAGTTCACTTTGGTGAGATGAAGTAGTCTGGGTGCCTATAGTGTCTCTTTAATAAACAAATTGAAAAAAACAAGAGAATAGTCTAATGTTCTCTAGTTACAAATTTTATGAGACTTGACAGTTTCCATTTAACTGCCTGCCTCTGTATTCTTTTTAAACTCATGTCAAGTCAAGTACAAGTGTTTTCATCTAAACTTTTCTCATTCAATCTGGGCAGTAACTTTCTGAGTCCATTTTCCAAGCTGTATCAAATGATTTAGATAAATTTAAGAAGATCCTATCTGCTTGACACCCTCATGTATATGTTTAATCACTTCCATCTAGAAAAAATTCAAGTGTACCTAGAAAATAGACTTGTGCACAGCAAATATATTTATTTCAGTTGAGCATCTTCACCAGAAAATATGTTTTATGTTGAGAACGTGTTAACGAAAAAAGATTTGAAAAACTAACTAAAAGGGGCAAAATGGGCCAATCAGTGTACTGCAAAATATATACTTAATATAAATAAACAGTACACTAACAGTCTCATTGTCTGCCATTTGGTTCACAGATGGAGTGAGAAATAAAAAAAAAAAATCAATAGTCGAAAAGAGAAAAAGCAGCAAATATATGTATATTTATTAAATATATAATATAAATATAGATTTTTTTTTCATTTGTCACTTCTTACTTGATCTGTGAATAAACTCAACATTTAGTGACTGTTCTCTAGCCCCCAATTATATGTTTTTCCTATAAATCACGTCTTTTTCTGGCGCCCACAGGGGGTGGAATTCAGAATTATGAAACAAAAAAAAAAAACAGGCATCCATTGCATGGCTCGTAATTCGGCTACACTTCGCCACAATTCTAATGATCAACCAATCGACCTAAATGAGGATGCATTGCTGGTTTATAATAAAATAAATCTCTAAGTCTAATACAAGCCATTAGGATTACAAGCTGGTTATACCTCCTGGTTGTTGTACTTTTAATCCATACATTATACAATACAGTTGCTTAATGCCATTCACCTTTATTTTTCTTGTGAAGAATGCATTTAGGCACATTCCTGCTTCACACTATACCAGGGGTAGGCAACCTTCGGCAATCCAGATGTTGTGGACTACATCCCCCATAATGCTCTCACAGCTATAATGCTGGCAAAGCATCATGGGAGGTGTAGTCCAAAACATCTGCAGTGCCGAAGGTTGCCTATCCCTGCACTATACGTTTATATACTGATATACAGAGACATTATACACACATACAGACATTGGTTTAACAAGCTGGTGTTTTATGAAACCTCATTCCTAAAAATGGCATCAGGTAAAAATGATTTACTCATTTATTTCATATTAATTTCAGTTATGTACTGGCTATGCACATCACTTGAATTAATTATGTAGACAATCTATTAAAATAATAAAAATAAGGAGACATATTCACTGGTTCTTCTGGAGCTGACCGTCTGCTCTGTATTCTACTCTAATCTTTTTCCTAAATTAAATGATGACTTTAATCATGCATTACACTAACGTGATAAGTACAGTATATTGTTTTTAGAGCTCTGTATTTTTCTTCTCAATACTGCAAGATACTGAAAGGGTTCAAAACTGATAACTAAAAAAAACAGGCTTTTTTTTTTGGTTGGGATAAGAACATATACCACTGTTTAGATCAAATATTTTGTGACCTTCGTCTCTTGCAACCTATGTTGTGAGGACGTCCTGTGTGACAGAGCGTGAGGATGTCCAGCGTCATTTCATGGAGTCCTCCCCCGGAATATACAAAGAAATATAAATGAAGAGTTCGACACTACAGACAAATTTCCCCACTGCTGTTTCTTTTAAAATAATTCCGAATTTTATTAATCCATTATAAAAATATCTATAAAAAATTGTGAAATAAATGCTCCAACCGTGTTGAGGCCAGCACAAGTATACGCGTTTCTCAAGACCTTGCAAACTAAACTTGCAATTCCACTCAGATATAGCCACTATTTATACACATATATGCATACACAGAACAGGGGAAATCAATGGTCACGCTGCCTGTGTGGTAAGTAATAAGTTGTCTATTTATTGCAGTTTTTGTATTATTTAAGTTCTAATATATACATAGTATATTCACATACAAATCTGTCTGTTTTCATATGGTGTCATACTATGCAATATTGCGTAAGTGCAGCTTGGGACATGCATACTGCCTGAGACTAATAGGAGTTAAACTCTCGAGCTGCAGCTGCCGAAGTTATATTCCCTCTCCTGTTATTGGTATGCCAGGTGAAGTAATGGAGAAAGCCAATGACCATTTAGTGACGAAAGCATGGATGCCCAAAAGGTTGATTCCCAGGTGTTTTGGAAATTCAACATTCTATAGGCCGGCAATGCATCTTGGGAGTTGGAGCTTTGCAACATCTGGGGATTGACCTTTAATGAACCCCTGCACTACAATATGAGAGTAAAACACAAATGAAAAACAAGTGTACACTGAGGCAAAGTTCTTGCATCACTACAGCTAATGTAGTTACTGCCACTTTGGTGCACATAAGTGTTGTTTGTGCAAAATGTTCCAGGAATAATACTGTTCAAACAGCAATTTCCCCACCAAAATGGTCTCTGCGTCTGATCTATTTTAGTCTTGTACAGCATACAATCTTACTTCAACCGATTAGATCCATAACCCTCTAACTGCAGTCAGTGTGATAGATGACAACCCATATAGAACATGCTTCCTCGCATATACTGGTATCAGTGGCTCAGATCACATTTGGTCGGTTATTTAGCAAACAAAGAATTGTGATAAATTGACATTCAGATTGTAAAATGTAGGTAAAAATAGCACACTTAGAGAAATTCTCCATCTAATTTCTATTTGTTTAGCTTTGCTATTTTGTGCTCATTTTCTCAATTTTGTTGCCAGTTCACAACAATTCACAGTTTGACTAACAAACCTTCTTTTTGGGGATTGCCAACTAAACTGTGATTGAAAGCAGAGCAATCCTTCCCCATTCATTTACACTAGTTAACACTACTGGAGTATTACAATCTAAGTGGATGTTGGTAAAAAGCTCACTTATCTCCAATTCACCTCCATTTCAAGGAGACTTTGCTGCCAATTATGCCTCAGACACTCATACATGCTTTGACAACTTCAGTCCAGATCAGTCTAGAAGACAACCACTGAAGGTCTGAAATGGCAATGTTTTAAATTACAGGGTTAAGGGGACAGAGGCAAGCAGCACCCACACCACTTCAATGAGACAACGTGGTCTGGGTGCCTATAAGCTACCTTGCATGTTATGCTCTGGTTATTCCCTGACAGCCAGACTTGTGATATAAAAGAAAAATAATTTAATAAAAGCTAAATCTGTAGATAACTTTTACTTGGCTATTAGGTCATGCTAAATTTTCACCATTGACAATTTTGCTTTAAGGCAGAGAAAATTAAAACATAACTGGTTTGAATATGTTGAAAAATATTTCCAATTCGACTATTTTGCACAAAATATGCATTTAACAGTTAAACTGTTCTACACAATTCCTGGTTTAGTTAATTAAACCCCATGGATTTTAATTTGTTCTTCAATTTGAGCAGAGATATTTTATGCGTGGCATTTTAAAGGTTATCTGAGGACTGGTACAGAAATCACTGACACGTTCAATATAAACAAATTGGGTCATATTGATGAATCTCTTTGAGCAAACTCACCTTAAAATAAATTCATATTGAAAAATAAATTTGGTTCTGCAGGTACACATACTTACAGAGAGTTTAGGTGTTAGGTCCCTGACCTGTTTGTGAATTACAAAACAAAGACGAAACAATATTTTACCCAGATCAGCAAAGCTGCTGTTGAAAATACAGCTGCCTCTCCAGTTCTGGCCATGACCCCATATGGCCATTTTGACAAATTATCTTCTCAGTAAGAACGCAACAGAATGTGTTCGATTCTCTCCTGAACTTTAATGTTTACCTATAAACCAAGGTGTATGACTTCACTGTGTCATGGTGCATATTTGCTTGAAATCACCTTTTTCCAGCTTGTTATTTAAACAACTTGTTGATGCAGATTTCACATTTTTTTTCCTTCAAGGTGATCAAAACAAAAAGAAAATAAGAAATTTATACTATTTACTTTTGCATCGATCTGGGTTATAGGATGATTGGTCCATATATGTATTTGCAAGATCTAATGATTAATAATGTTTCACCATGAGTCTACTAGCTTAGCTGTAGGCTGCATTTTCTTATGATTTGAAGTGTGAACCAAAAGCTGTCTGGATGATTGGATGCTGAATCTTGTGGTATGATGTGAATGTCCCCGTGGGCCAAGTCCCAATGAGATTCTCCTGAAGATAATTATTTTAATGGAAGACTTGGGCCTTTGACTTTATGGCATTAGTCCTTAGAGGATGGCAATGTAAGATACTGCTGGTGAAGTGACAGAAGGCACTAACTATTGATCCAAACCTCTTGTCTTGTCATGTCTGTCAAAAGAGGGAAGGAATAATGGGAGCCTGAAATCCTCAAGTTAGAGTGCTCCCTAAAGCTGGACTTGACCATCCATTGTGGTTTGTCTTTGACATGGTCAACTTGCACAGTACTGTTTTTTGGTTGAGCATTAAAACATCAAGCATAACCTGCTCATCCAACTTGGGCTTCAATTAAAAAAACATAAATTAGGCGCCTCCTATATATTCTACTTCCTGGGCTTATTGTACAGTAGCTGCATGAGCCAATGCCTTTCAGCATTTCCACATAACCAGCATGGAACACCATCGCTCTCAGAAGATGCACCAACCAGAGTTATATCATTTTATAGACAATTGCCATATTGATATTTCTTTGCAAAAAACATTACATGGTTACAGATGTGGGAGAATTTGACTGCCCAGAGGCAAGGAAATTGTATGTATAGTTGATGAACAATAGTTTGGCATAACAGTTTTTTTATATTGATACCACATCAAACACTGTAGTGACAACTTCAAATTCTCAGTGAGCTGAAAATTGGTGGATGTTATACTCATGGAAAGCCATTGCTGTTTGTGGCTGACATCCTTATATCTGTTCAACTCCCTTTAGTTAATATGCCAGGATAGGAACTGCGGAGAGACAATATCACTGTCTCACTCTTGTTAGGTCCTCTCCCAGCCCATCAATATCATGAGAAGGACTTAAAGGAGCACTATGATGTTAGGAATACAAACCTGTATATCTAACATTATAATACCCCTGCTGTCCTTAGTTCTATGTAGGCCCCCTCCCCTGTGCCATTGACATAAGTGAAATACAAGGTTTACATGTTTTTCCAGTGCTGAGGCACCCACAGCACTGCTCAGCTCTATGCCTTCCATAATTTAATGGAGGAGCTAGGACCTCTTCTTTGATGGCTCAATCCAAGCATTGAGATCTGAATTGCACGCGCAGTGAATGTCGAAAGCCCATTCAAGCTTTTCCATAGCAAAGAATTGTATTTAATGCTTTCCTATGGGCTACCCGCATTTTGTGACTGAGTTCTAAAGTGCAGCAAAAGCCTTTTTAGTGCCAGTCAGTATGACACTCACCAAAGGTGGGTTTAACTCTACATTGTAAACATTGCAGTTTCTAAAAACTGGACAGAGTCACTGCACCCTCAATGAAGTGGTCTGGGTGACTATAGTGTCCCTTTAAATTATAGCAGACTGGAGACTGTATGAGCTGGTGCGGCCAATCACATAACATACTCAGTTTTTCTGTTCCGTAAATGAATAAAAGATACATAGAAAAGGCTTTCCTTATTTTAAATATTCAAGTGCAGTATCCTCATACATACTAATTTTTAATCTAACAAATATATTTAAAATAAACAAAATGTACAGTACCTCTTCTATATAATCTCTCTCTCTCTCTCTCTCTCTCTCTCTCATCCTATGAAGATAACAATACAGTATAATAAAGTATTTCCTCCCTATTCCAACCTTCCTGTTAATTTTAGTTATAAATGTAACTCTAAATGAGCCTAGAACTGTTGGACAAGAGATGTAGTTTCATTGTGAATTACTAATCGAAGTATGTTGTAGTTATACTCTTTCTAACCAGTTAGCATGTTCACAGGTTTTCTGAATTGAATTCCAAAGTTCATCATCTAACAAGTCAATAAAGAGATCTCAGTGTCAGGATTACAGAATGATCCAGCACGTAGAATTGTATAACACAGAGGACTGATAGGTAACGTATACCGGACCTTAGAATGGCCAGACTAACGTACCAAAGAATAGTCAGAATAGCCGAGGTCAAGGGAAACAGAAAGAGACACAACGATAAGGAAAAGCCAGGGGTCAGGGATGCCAGAAAACAGGGAAGTCAAAAACAATGCCAAAGTCAAATAGCCAAAATTACCAGAATCAATAATGTGCTCTCGGACAACCACAAGGAAAACCACGACAGGGCACTGAGCAGGATGAGAACTGGGCCTAAATACCCCTCCTCTAGATCTGATAGGCTGTAACCGGCCTTTGACCCCAAAGTCAGTTACCAGTTATTTGCATAATTGCTGCTCAGCATTAACCCTTCTGTGGATTTGGTTGCCGCTCGGCACAACTTTTCCTGTGTGGACAGTAAATGCCATTAACCACATTTTTATAAGCGGATGAATACGTGACACTCAGTTCTGGAAGAATACATTGGTAACGATACCGTCCATGAATTAAGCCAATCTATTCAAAAAGTGTTCTAGCTAGAAGTAAAGCTTGAATGCAGGCTCCGAATGTATCCACCGGCCCCAGTCAAAGCCATCTCTGTGAATTTGTGGGTTTTCGAAGCACACCAAATATGGATGCTTCTAGGTTAAGCAAATATTTAGTGCTTTTTAAGAAAAATAAGTATTGATTACCTCCCTCCAGAATTTATGTGTCCCTCTACTAGAGGCAGTGAGTATATCTGTTCTTCCCTTTCATTCTTGGGTCCTAAATTAGAATCTTGAATTTCAGATCTGTGTTGCTTTAGGGGAGTTGTAGGCTTGATGAGATTTTTGCCTACGCATTTCTTGACATGTAGTTGATGTAGTTGCTATGTAGAAATTTACATTTGCCATCAGTATGCCACTTACATCAACAATCGGTAAGAAAGTTGTTCACTGTTTAACACCTTAGTGAAAGGACGAATTGTCCTGAAGTTTTAAAATTATTACATAAATGGAATGCATTTCATTTTTTGATGAATGATGTCAACAACTATGCAGTACGGGATGTGAAACCATGATACGTCCATTGAGATGGCAGATAGATGATAGGTGATATATAAATATAGAAATTGGCTAGGTGAATATTTGTGCTTATCAGCGGTGTCTAAAAAGAGTACAACATATGGTGTTTCAATATAATGATTTGCATTTCACAGATAACCAGGCCCTTTCACCTCTTTTACTCTTAATTCTCTTAATCACTGTTGTCATTACAAAATGTTTATAACACACTGTTTCAAAACTAGAACATATCTTGGCTTGCTATTTTATATTATTTCTCAACAGTGTTTGCCTTTCATAAAATTATATAGATAATTTATAGCTCACCTGGACCTGCTTAAAGGGACACCATAGTCACCAAAGTAAATGTAGCTTTTTTTTGTGTGTAGATCATGCTTCAGAAGTTTCACTGCTCAATTCTCTCCCATTTAGGAGTTAAATTATTTTTTACTCTTAATGCAGCCCTAGGCACACCTCCCCTGGCCGTGACTGATACAGCATACATTAAAAGAAAAATGGTTTAATTTGCAATCAGATGTAACTTATTTTAAAATATTGTATCGCCTGCTCTGTAAATTGAACTTACATTACATACAGGAGGCTCCTGCAGGGTTTAGCAAGCTATTAACAGAGTAGTAGATAAGAAATTCTACATTAAACAGACTGTGCAATCAAGGAAGTGTAAACATTAGCTGACTCTTTACAGGAAGTGTTTAGGAAGGCTGTGTACGTCACATGCATAAACAAAGTGATTTAACTCCTAATTGACGGAGAATTCAGCATTAAGACTATAATGGCATGATCTATACACCAAAACTGCTTCATTAAGCAAAAGTTGTTTTGGTGACTATAGAGTCCCTTTAAGACACAGGTGTAAATCACAATCATCAAGCATATCAAACGTTCTTTTTTCTTATTTCCGTTGGTACACAATGGGATATTATGTCTCATGCAATACATGATGGTCCTTTTTAGTTCCAGCAGGTCAATGTCACACATTCAGCTATCAAGTTATACATGGGACACTCTGTCAGCTGGAGGTACATTTAATAGATCTCTGGTCACAGATTAGTTACAGCAAAAGCTCAAATTGAGGAATGTTATATATAATTGCAGGAATGTTGACAAACATCTATGCTTGCCCATACCATTGTGCAGCAAACACTGATGTTGTCAGATTCGAGAGCAATTAGGGAGAAGCCCCTGGGGTCTTTGGGGCCACAGATCAAGTTTCCCAGCATGCCCTTTCTACATGGGGATCAATGTCTAATGATCTTTGCAGATGACCAAACACACAAAAGACAACTTTAGCTCAGCACAGCTCTGCCATGATGAAGTTGAGTTTTATAATACAGAGTGAGAAATTTTGTTTCTCCATCTTATTCTTACCTCTTCCCAAGACCTGCTTTCCTGGAGACATCATCTAGATATGTGGCTGATAGACCACCTCTGTATTTTCTCTCGCAATCCTCATACACTGGCTATAGGTGAGTTCTGCATTTTACCCCTTACAGAGTCCTCTTTCAATAACATATAGCCTATCTCTATGAAGTCCATATACCTTCTCCTTGATGTCAATTTTCCTTCTTTCCCTCATTTCTCTCTTTTCCAACTTTTTAACATTCTTCTTTGTAATTTTTGGCTATTACTTTAAAAGTCTATACATGAATGTATTTTAATGACTTTTTATCTATATAGTATCTTAACATTAAGTAATTTATCTCAGCCTCAATATATAATGTTCTTCTTTAAATACAAATTACCAAAATAGTAATTTCAGAATAGTAATGATTAATAACCATATATACATACATATATACATACATATTATCATACATACATACATACATATATATATACCCATACACCATACAACACGCACACATACACACACACAAATATATATATATAACAGAAATGTACATAGACCATATTACAATGTATGATCATACACTTAAGGGAGTGTGCTGAATCTTATACATTATCTATCTATTGTCTATCAGTCGCCAGCAGCACCCTTATAAAATATACATGTTTAGGTGAGTGCCTTCTCTCTGTTCTAGGTATAATATAACATATTCTAATATAATCATAAGAAATACCATTTAATTTAGGGCATTTTACTCGCCTTGGTAATTATGTACAAATAATTAAAAAAATTTTCACATTTATTTAAATGTATTCATACTATGTGATGTATTATATATACGTTCATGATATCAAAAGAGAGCTCTATCTATTTAAAAAAAATAAAAAAAAATAATAAAACCTCTATATAAGTGCACTAAATTAGAAAGTAGTAAATTAATCATGAACAACAACGAAAAAATACAAACTAGCTTTAACACATAAGTGATTGCAGCACTAAAAACCATGCTCATTAAGATGTTAAGCACATTAAACACTGTGATGAAGCCACAGATAATATGATATCTTCTATCTTCATTATATAATCTTCAATAAACAGACAGTCTTTAAGAAGGATAATTATATTGCATTTTTCATTCTAATTCGGTAGATGCTAGATGCTTAAGACCATGCATTTAGAAAGTTTCAGTAACTCTGCATTTTTCAGCCATCATATAAAATGATCTAAAAAAAGATAAAATGTAATTCTTGTGTTTTTTTTCACATTACAAATAAATCAAAATCAACTAACCTTCAATGACCGAACCAGGTAGCGGGTGCCTCCAATTTACGTATATCATATTGCTATGATTTTTGAATGCATTCTGAGATTGCACATCCAGTGAACTGGAGACTATTAAAGAAGGGTGGGAGGGGCGTTATCAAAGAGGTGCTTCTGACGCAATGAGTGTCTCTATTGACACTTGGGAAGGCATAGTTAAATAGGGGATGTGTCGACCTGATAAACAGAATGCACAAGTAAAAGCTAAATCTTTAATAAAATACCCCAAATATCTTCTTAGAAACCAAATAAAAGTTTTCTAAAATACCAGTTACCTGAATCTATCCCTCGCATAATATGCAAGTATGTATAATTGCAGAAAAGGATAGCATTCCAGGGACTTTTATCATTGTCCAGATGAAAGTTTCAAACAGAAACTGAAACGTTGATTTTTTTATAGATACCTTTTGAACAAGGTATTTATTTTGGATACTAAGTCTCTGGAGTGCTATCCTTTTCCGCAATTTTGTATGTTATGCAAACAAGCACCAGGCAAGTGGAATTATATCCTTGAGTGCAAGTTTAGCAGTATATATATATATATATATTTTTTTTTTATTTGTATTTTTTTTTTTACATTTTTTTATCAGAAACTAATTTTGTGTGTGTTAGATTTAATTATTATGGTTATATTTTACGTACTGATCACAATGACTTAGAATTCTAGTTATAGAACATTAAAAAAGCAGAATCTCATATACCATTGATATGGCTGTTTTAGGTGAATTATTTGTCTACATAACTACTTTAAAGACCATAAAAAAGTGCCCAGTGTCACTTGTTTTTTTACTTTTATAATTTGAGAAGAAGGATGAATCATCGCTCTCCAGGGAGATATTTATCTCACTGTATGAAAATGTGTTTCATTTTAGAATTACTCATTACAGTATTTGACGACGGGAAAATTGATAACAAAAGATGCAGGAGATCCATGATAGACTTTAGATATAAGAAGTGGTTCCCAGTCCAGTTCTCAAAGCCCATCAGCAATCTGGGATCTAGACATTCCATCATGTTGTCCATCAGCAATCTGGGATCTGTTCCATCATGCGTACTCAAAAAATATTGGCTATTGGAGTGTCTTGGGGACTAGATTGGGAAACACTGATTTAAAGAATAGAATTACTGGGAGCGGGGGCTCAGGTAAACATACAGAAAGGAACATATAACCGCAGACCAGTTAACACAATAAAAACAAATTAATGGTGTAACATACTTACAGTCATCAAGACGATTTGGCACTTAATTAGAATGTTTGTCAACTGTTTACCTGTCTACATAAAATTATTACCCATTGAGACTGATGTTGCGTTGGTAATTTATATCTTATATCTATAGCACATTGTTATCGGCATAATTATATTAAAGGACATACATTATTGACAGCAGAGTATTTCTACAGGGCTGAACTGCAGTTTTCCAGCCAGTTGCAATGGCTGCACTGCCTGTGTGTCAGACACGAGATTAACACTGACATGATTTAATCTGATAGTATATTGTTGGAAAGTTTAATAATACAGTTGGTGCTATAAACGCTCTATTGTATGAGACAGACAAGTACTCTTCACCAACACAACAGTACAAAGTAGCTAATAGACTTGGGCATGGCAAAATAAATTTGGTTCAGCCGCATTGAGTCATCCGAAAAAAATATTTTGCTTGAGTGGTCCAGGATTCATACATAGGGTATTTTATTGTCTATCAATTGCTCAATACAACCTTTCTGTCCTTGTATGTTAAATAATATTTACTGTAATTGTTCCTTAGTCTAATATATTTTATACCTAACTATATTAAGCTCAGTGATTGTATCAAAATGTTATTTTCACTCATTGTATAATTCGTTAATCTGGGTGCTAAATAAGCAAATTGTCAGATATATAAATAAATTAGTATTTTATTGTAATGATGCTGTAAATTGATTTTGCAACTTGTCTACCATAACTGTCACATTGTAGCGTTGGGCAATGATCTCAGTAGGAAACAGATATTGCTGAGTGTACACCTTGCGTTTTGTTGTGTGAGTAAGCCATGGAAATGTTTGTTCAACTGTTCACACAGCTGGCTAGCTGATTCTGAGTCTTCGAATCAGCTGGAAGTCATTTTGTACATGTTGCATCTCTGTTCTTACATAGGTGCTTTTGGCAAGTGATCCGTACTTTAATTACAATGGGAGTCCTATTTATGGAAGGGATGGCATATTTATTGGAACGGACTGTGGCCAATGGTGATGACGCATTGGATCATTTTATAATCTAGATTAAACATGTAGCTAATTTCATTACTGAGGAATTCAAAGTATTCTGTTTGTTTTTAAACTGGATGGAAAACAGGTGCGATAGGTGGATGGGGGCTAGGAAGTTTGTGCCCTTCTTTTACAATGTGACTATAAAAATATTTATCTTTGTAGTGGCGCAGAGCCAAGAATATACTAACATAATATGCAATGGTATTTTCTTATTTATTTCTTAATCTGTTGGGATGTCATTATTGTTTATTCACAAATATTGATATTACCCCTTCCTATGCATTGGCCATAGAACAGATAAGTGAAGCTAACAGATGCTATTTATAATGCATAAGGTACTTTACCTTTGTCTGAGTATCTATCATGGGTCTCATATAGTCTAAATGTTATTAACATTTCAGTTTACTCCTTTCAGTATGGGGTGGATGGTACAGAATGTCATTTCATGTTGATGCTTGTTGATGTATGTATGTGCCAGGCATACAATGTGCAGTGAAAAATATCAATAGTAAAGCCAAATACACAGGTTACTGTACACATATCTTATATATTAGATGGACACTGCAAAAATAAAAAATTAAAATCAAAAACTGAAAATTCCCTGTTTAATACATATACCCCTAATGAAAACATGCATCATTTAATTATGCATTTCTCTAGGGGTATCTAAAAAACAACTCGCAAAAGTTGCAGATCTCTAGTCTGCAGCTTTTGCAAGCCCTCCCATTCTAACCCCGCCCAGACTTTCTGTGGCTGTCCAATCACAAACTTCCCAATGTAGCTCAAAGAGCAAATGCTGCCTCTTGAGTGTAGCTGCACTGAGCTTAACAAACCAGGAAGTAACAGGACTGATTGTTTGCTTGAAAGGTGAGGGGTGGCGGGTGGTAAAGGGGGCAGGGGTAATAAGGTTTATTCATGAAAGAATACATTTCTATTGAAATCTTAACTTTTTGTAAAATGAAAAAAAGAGCACACAATTTTCACACATAAAGCACTTCAGCAAGCTAAAGTGTTTTAGGGGTTCCAAATGTCCCTTTAATCTATATTTAGAAGGTACAAAGTGATTTTGGTTTGTACTTACAATGATTTTACTTTTGTCAGTCAGGATCATGCAAACACATTTCATTGTAGCATGAACATTAATAATCTTTAATGATGATCATCTAGGTGAAACTCCCACCCTATCTGGGAAGCTCCCATCCTATCGGAATAAAATGCTCTCCCTGACCTTTCCCACATCCTATAATCTCAGTTCCAGTACCAGCACTTTATTTAGTATACTGTAACGACCTCTTGTATTTCGTATATTCCTTTCCTTCGCCCAGAAGATAATTTAGTGTTCTTTGCTTTAACTAATTATCTCCCAGGCACTCGAGGTAAAGAGTTTAAACATAAAATACCCCAAAATACATATAACACATATAGGAACCCTCACAAAGATTATATCCTTTGGATAGCCTGGATCTGAGCGCCCAACATAACCAAATAATGCTCAGATCCCAGGAACACAGCCAAATCGCCACCGGGGTAAAGTTTTCACCAACAACACACGCTGCGTTTTCCCAAATCAGTTCCAGAGAATCAGGGGTAGTGGTCGGTCACCTTCGGGAGTTCCCAAACTAACAAAAAATCAAACGGTTCCCCTGGCTCATAGGTAGCGGTTGTTTGCCTTGTTCGTGCGAACAATCCTACCGAACAGTGTTCTCCTGTCTTGTGTTGGAAAGAAGCAGGCATTTGTACAAAATCACCGGTGTTTGCGGGGTTGAGTGTCTGCTTTACAGTTCCAGACACTCGATGACCAGGTACCGCTGCCTGATTTTGGGAGACGATTTCTATCGCACGTGTTGTTTGGTTATACGAACAGCGGCCACACAGCGAGAGCACTTAAGTTTGTAGTTTTCTTTGAAGTTAAATGAGCCAGGGGGTTGGTCAATATTCGGTAGTTTAGTCTACCGAACGCAGGGAAAAAAAATAACTGGGGCAAAGAAATATGGGGTTTTGTCACAACTGAATTACGAAAAGAAACTAGCACAATACTCATTTTTCATAGAGCACCGCAAGTATGGAACAACCTCCTGGACTACAGTTAAACTTTTCTCCACACTCAAATTCTTTAAGAGATCCTTGCCAACATATCTCAGTACAGTGTGCCCCTGTAATCATGGTTGATTATATTTCTTACCTGTTTGTGTTAAATCTATATATATATATATATATATATATATATATATATATATATATATATATATATGTAGTATCTAAATATAACTTTGTAATTTTAATATTATACTGCTCATTTTAATATTACTTTGTATTTGTAATATTATGCAGTACCCTATTGTTTGTGATCCTAGGACATACATATGTGTCATTCCTGGTAAAATATTTTTATAAATAAATAAATATAGAAACAAACAACTCCAGGAGCAAGCAGTTGCTCACAGTAAAGGTGAGTGACACATTATTATATAGAATTTTTTTTTTTTTTTTATCTTCTGGTCATGCTCTCCTTATTGTAGTAACCTAACCCATTTGGGAGTAGTATACTCATACACATGGGTGACTAGTTACTTTGTCTAGTCAAAACTAATCAAACCATTTCTTAAAGATACTTGTAAGTTGAAGAATAGGCTCTAGATGAACATGCTAGAGCTTTCTGCCATCGACAAAGTTATAAAAATGTTAAAAGTATTTGTTTTCTCATGTAGCATGGGAATAAGCAGTAAAGTAGATTAAACTCCATCTCAACTGTTTGTTTATACTGTTTGTTTTGTCTTTTTCTCCTTTAGGAACTATAATATTATAATCAGGACACATACAGACTGAATAGCACAGAAGACAGGATGCACCAATTAAAAACAAAGAATTAAAAATACTAAAACAAAATATTAGATAAAAAAGAGTAAAAAGCAGATACAATAGGTTCTTAATTATAGTTCTAATTCTTCTTCTAATGGCCCGAGTTCTTATGAAGTCTACTCCATCCTCATTGGATATAGATAAAAGAAGGAGAGAGGAATACTGATAGTGTAGTATTTGATATACTGCGTTGATGACAGACAACAAAGTGCTTAAATACCCACTTATGTTATAGTTGTCTGTCATCAACCTAGTATATCACATACTACACCAGGGTTAGGCAATCTTCGGCACTTCAAATGTTTTGAACTACATCTCCCCTGATGCTTTGCCATCATTTTGACTGCAAGAAATCATGGGAGGTGTAGTCCACAAGATCTAGAGTGCCGAAGGTTTCTTACCCCTGTACTACACTATCAGTATTCCTCTCTTTCTTTCTTTTATCGACACATGCAGTATATCCAATGATCCACGAAGTAGTCTTCACACGTACTCAGGCTATTAAAAGAAAATTTGAACTATTATTAAAATGTGTTTTTTAACTTTCATTTTATCTAATATTTAACTTTAATAGTTTGTTTTAAATTGGTGTAACCTGTCTTCTGTACTACATGTTTATAACCTGCTGGGGCACAGAGGGGTCCCCATATATTTAGTGATTGCTGCCATGGTTTACCTCCTCTAGAACTTTCAGCGCTTGTCCCCTTTTTTGCTATTCTTGTGTCCACATTGTGAGTTATACATCAAAATGATCACATTACTTTTTTTCTCCAATATTATGAAGCACTAATATTTTGCTTATTATTTTGCTGTTTTTTTGTACCAGAATATTTCTTCTTGTGTTTGCCCCATCATACTGTTCTCATGTTGTCATCTTTTTTTACTTTTTTGGACCAAATATTTGTCACTGCGTATGTATAAAAGAAGTTGAATTTTGTATGCCTATTTTTTGCCATATTTTACATCTCTATCATTGCGGCAGATTTTTAAGTGGCAGATAAGAGTAATGTTGGAGGAACACATGCATGGAAAAAAAAACACAACAATATATAAAAGTATGGAAAGGTTATTATACAAATGAAAAATGTCACAGATGGAAAATTATGACGCAAAAGATTTTCTATATATGAAATGGCATGAACGGAGAGTTTGAAAGCAAACTTTTTACATAACTCCCAATTGGTCTGATTCTTATCTCACACATTTTAATGAACTGGTTTTCATTTGATTTAAATTAAATAAAATTCTGCTTGTCAATCAGCACTGCCATTTTTACCTGTTACAATATAAAAGATCTGCCTTAACTTGTATCACCACCAAGAGGCCAATTTCTGAACATATCTTAAATAGTTTAAGTGAAACATCCAAGGTATTTAGAGGAAATTAAGTAATCAGGACCCCATGATTGCAAAGTGTAACCTCGTCTAACATGCAGATGTTGGCAACTAACATGATCTAACAATGTACACATAAATCAAACCTTTGCTAGAACTGTCTGTATGTTACTTAAGTTATTGAAGTGATTGTAACAAATATCTTCTGAATGTGATATTATTGTTTTTATTATTACCGTTATATAATATTTCACAATGCTATATATGCCAGACAAACAGGCTATTCAACAAAGTGAACATTATTGTGAATTTAAGGTGAATTTCAAAAGTAGCGATACAAATAAAACAAAACTGCATTGTATTTTCTCTCCCCTATCTAGCCCTGGTATTCATCTGAATTCATCTTCTGGAGCTCTATTGTATCATGTTATACTAGAGCCTGTTGATTTATATTGTTGTCAAAATACACTGATTGGAGTTCAAGTGAGAAGAACTAAGGGAAAAACAGAGGATCAGTAAAAAAAAGTTGTATTAATAGTTTATTTGTTTATCATTTATATAATATATACATTTCTGTTTACTGCCTTTTATTTTGCTCCCTCCATCTAGTGGCCCCTTCTCACTTGTGAAATACATAAAATCTACATTTACTGGATGTCCCCCAGGCATCAATCTGTCCGATGACTTGCCGATCACACAAAATCACAATTCATCTGACATTGTATAAGTCTACTGTTTGTTCTCTAATTGTTTTGGTGCCTCATTTTCAAATAACCACACATAAAATTCTTGGCTTGAAAAGGAGGTACGGTGTCGGCAATATACCAGTGCATATTTTCCGGCTGCAATACAGTAGCCTACAGTGGCCTTTGAAATAAATATGTCTACTTTTAATCTGGGGCTGCATTTAATGTTTTTATATTTTTAATTTTATGATCTGCATACTCTTAATTTTCTAAAATATGCCAGCAGGTGCCTTACAATAAACTATCAGCAGGGTATAGAATCATTTTAGTTTAAAGTTTTTGTAATGTCTGCTGCATGTTACAACAAATATACATTCTTGTATATGCTAAGATTTCAGAATCCTTATGCATAATTGCCAGTTAAATGGATTCTATAGTGTTAGAAAATAGAGCACAAATCTGTATTTCTAATACTATAGTGCACTCTGGCTCCCCCTTTCCCTCCGGGAGATAAAGGGATAAAAAAAACCTTTAATTTCTTACCTGAATCCTGTGCTGATGTCCCTCGGTGTAGTGTGTCGGTGCTCTGCTTCCTCCAACGTTATCTGACGAGGGAATCAACTGTGTATATGCGGCGAGCCTTGCGAGCGCATTAGGCCCTACCAATAGGAATTCATTGACTCTATGCTTTCCTATGGGGATTTTACTGAAGCTGGATGTCCTCATGCAGAGCATGGCGTGTAAGACGACCTAGAGTCCGGTATACTCCCGGGAGTATACCGGACTCTACACTGCAGGACTACAGGGGACAGGGATAGTTCACTCAGACCACTTCAATGAGGTGAAGTGTTCTGGGTACCTATAGTGTCCCTTTAAAGGATACCATGAAATCTCTTATTAAAGTTTTTGCAAAACCAGAAGCCATATAAATTAGTTTAAAAGAATACCTAAGTGTACATTTGCTAGTATGCATTTCTCAGTAGATACCTGAGGGCACATGCTACGTTTGTCATTTTTTTTTTAAAAAAGTAGCAGTTATTTGCTGTGCTTGACTAAATTGTAATTTTAGAAGCCTTTTTGACAGTTTATGCATGTTCTGGGGAAGAAAATCAGAGTTCTTTGCTTTCAGCGGTTTGATTTGGGCTTTATTGTCAGGGTTGTTCAATAAAATGAGAATCCAATGTGCATTAAAGTAAATTTCAAATTTAAGGTCAAAATAGCCAAATTAAAAACATTATCTAAGTCAGGTATGCATTCAGTTTTCAGTATTCAGTATTTCAGTATTCTGGCTTTAAATTTAGATTTCTCTTTAAATTCTTAATTTTGTAAATACTATTGTGTGATTGATTGTGAATTAACTGAAGGACATAATACTGAGTTCTGTGAAGTGGCAATACAGTGAATTCCTCTTTTTCAAACATAAGGGGAACATGTTGGACTATCTGATACAGATAACAATCCTTGATTTCTCCAAAACAGACTGCAAATGTCTACGTGATAAATGTCATCAAAATGAAAAAGTTTACCGTGTGTTCCGCAATATTTTTTCATGCATGCACTTGAATTTAGTTAATGATTGCATTTTTCCCACCTCTATTTTATGTGAACAAATGTCAATAATGTATACATTGTGTGCCTGATATTTGTGATTCTTGTAAAAATTGCCACATATGATTTTTGTAGCTTCCTTTGGACGAACAGCGTTCACTGTTTTATCATTCCATTGCCTTCAACATCAGAGCAAGATTATGGCTGGCCAGATTGGGGCCCGCTCCTAGAGCCCTGGTATGGTGAGTGATGTGTATGGTGAGTGCTGTGTGAGAGAGTGTGTGGAGGAAGGTGAGAGCTGTATAGGGGGAGGCTGAGTATGTCTATGTGTGCACATTGAGAGTTGTATTTGGGTTCCACTCATGTGGCGTTTTGGTTCAGGCGAATTTCATCAATGCAATCTTTTTTGGAAAAACGCTTCATACAAAAAAATAAAAGTAATGTAAATATTTAGCAGTACACTGATTGGAGATCAAGATAGAAGAACTAAGGGAAAAACAGAGGATCAGTAAAAAAAAGTTGTATTTATATTTTATATGTTTATCATTTATATAATATATACCTCTATGTTTATTGCCTTTTATTTTGCTCCCTCCATCTAGTGGCCCCTTCTCACTTGTGAAATACATAAAATCTACATTTACTGGATGTCCCCCAGGCATCAATCTGTCCGATGACTTGCCGATCACACAAGATCACAATTCATCTGACATTGTATAAGTCTACTATTTGTTCTCTAATTGTTTTGGTGCCTCATTTTCAAATAACCACACATAAAATTCCAGAACCCATACATTATTTATCTTCTTCATTGCAATGCCTGTGAATAAGACAATGGAAATTATGCACAAAAGGTCCACTTTTTAGGCTGTATTGTTTCTTGTAAATAAAGACAATATGTGCAAATAAATACATATTTTATATGTGTACAGTGGAAATATATGTGTTGCAATGTGTGCCTAAAATTTACAAGTAATTGCTTTGAGGGATTACATCATACGTAAAAAATTATTACATATGAAGAGGACCGTTTTCTACAAGTAATTTTTAAAGGAACACTATAGGGTCAGGAACACAAACATGTATATACTCCCTATAGTGTTAAAACCACCATCTAGCCCCATTGACCCCGACTTGCCCCCCTATATATGGCAAAATCATACTTTTATTTCAGTCTTCTGCTGCTGTCTCTGCCCCTGATTGGCCTGCTAGGCTGACATCTTCAGAAGTGGTGTTCTTAGCCAATCACAATGCTTTCTCATGTATTGGCTGAGACTGTCAAGAAAGCAGATTAGAGGCAGAGTCTAAACAGGAACTGATGAGGGACAGAATGTCAGGTTGCTTCAAAGGAAGGTGGTGGGTAATCCCTAATGGTAATAATTAAACTCAATAGGGAGCCAAAAGGCTGCCAATAAAAGAGGATAAGACCAGTGTACAGATACCTCTAGCTATGGGAAGGAACCCATAAATAATAAAACGTAACTTTTAATAAATTATAAAATATAAAACCATACATATATTATGCTAGTCAGATCTACAGCTGTCTAATTCTGCCACATAATTGATACAAAATTGGATATAACAGACTAACAATGTACTATTCACCTGTAGGCAGTATCAATATATCTCTACCTTCTAAAATGTAACACGTAAAAAAGTAAACATTGTCCAAAGGCAAGAGAGGGGTGACATGTAAGCAGAGTCTCAAGGATGAGGAAAAGAGCAAAACCAGATAGAGGTTAGAAAAGGTAAAAAGCCCCACTCTATCCTGTCTGTGCCTTCGAGGGCACCCCTTAAAAAAAATGCTAACCCACCCCTCAGCTAATCCATAGTAGTCATGAATAGTAAGTTTAAAAACAAAACAAATATAAGGAAAAGTAGTGTGTAGTGATAAAGTCTTCAAAATACGATCATATCAGGCTGCAGCATTGTCTCTAAATTGTGGATCACTAACACACAAACAATGTCCCGACGTGCGTTTCGACACTAAATGGCTCTTCCAGTGGAAGGGGCAGAGCCAGCACAAGCCAAACACAACCCTGACCAATCAACATCTCCTCATACAAAATGCATTGAATCAATATATCTCCATGAGGAAAGTTCAGTGTCTGCATGCAGAGGTTGGAGACACTGAATGGCAGTGCTCACACTGTGTAGCACTGCCACAGGAAGCACCTCTAGTAGCCATCTGACAGGTGGAAAGTGGAGGTATCCCTAGGCTGTAATGTAAACACTGCATTTTCTTTAAAAAGCTTGAAGGTAATGAATCTACTCACCAGAACAAAAATGATAAGCTGTAGTTGTTCTGGTGACTATAAAGTCCCTTCAAGTAAGCTTTTATTTTTTATTCATAAAGATTAATAAGAAAAAGTATTGCTGATATTAAAATGTTCCAACTGCAAATATAATATATTATAATATCTAAATAGGGACTAGGGCACCATTGCGTTAGTAGTATCGGTTTGTATTACTAGCACTGTAATGTTCATTAAGAACTTCATTCATCACATATGGATCTGAGATTCAATTTACAAAACAAGCAGTTAATTTTGACAATGTAAAGGCTAAATACTGTTCGGTATTTTCTAAAAATAAATCATGTTTTTTAAGGACATTATGAACAGCCTTAAGCAATGTCAATCAAAATACAACCCAACAAGACTTACTTACTCTCCAATTCTCCTTGTTTTTATCCTGTTGAAAAAATCATTACAACTATCTCTGAAGAAGTACTTTGAATGGCAGAACCCTCCTTCTTCCCACTGTGCAGCAAATTTTGAAAAGGGGGGCAAGCAGAACTTTGAACATGCATATGGTAGAAGGAGGGGGTAGAACCTTGGTGTGATCTCAGAGGTAGAAGTAGTCACAGTGGTAGTTGGATATATAAATGAGAAAGAATACAACAAAGTATAGTGTAGTATATTCTGTATAAAATAGTTCAGAGTAAGTAGAAGTGTACTTACTAGTATATAAAAATCCCCATATGTGTCTTCTAAGATAGGTCATTTTAAGTAGCCATAACCACTCTGCTTGCGATCATATAGACTCTTTCCTTGTTGGACATACAGGGAATATTTTCCCTTCTTATACCGAGTCACTTTATGTGGTCACAACCACAATTTGCAGTAGGTTTGCAGGTTTTCGTAACATTTAAGGACCATTCCACACTCAAAAACAGAGGTGAACAAAAAAAAAAAATTTAAATAAATTTTTTTTAAATGCATATATTCATTCTTTGCAGCTTTATCAAGCCCTCTAATTTTTCTTGGATAAAATGTTCAGTCTTTTCACAGGGAAATGACCTCTGCATTGAGAAACTTCTGAAGCCATCTTCCCATGCATGTACACGCACTGGCTCGCACAAGCACATGTTTCAGAAAGAACACTGGTCTAATATGAGTTCTGAGAACAGGTATATATTGAGGGTAGGCACACTCAAGTAGAACGCATCTGCAACTTCCGCAAGCTTGAGGGAGCTAATGGAAGCAGGAAGGAAACGTCCCTGGCTGTTTGATTGGCAGTCATGGGGTATTCCATTATTTAATAATACAAATTTGATTTATCATAGAAATCAGCACTTTTATAAAGTTCCTTTTTAATTGGATACTCCTCACCAGCTGAAATGTTTGATGATTGTGGAGTGGTCCTTTAGGCATCTTGGCCTAAAGCATAGCGAAGAAAGCTGGTTGTGCTATTTATTTGTGAAGAAAAATTTGCTATCTGATGCTTCTAACAGTTATGCAGTTATTGACGTAGAATCAGGGGCAGCTCTAGACTTTGCAAGGCCTTAGGCGAAACTCAAACATGAGGCCCCAACTAACACCATTAGTGAAAGAAATAGGGGTTACTTTGTGTGTGTGTGTGTGTATAAGGAGCTGTAGATATATTGAATGACGAGCTTGCAGCGTTGGATACAGAAAGTTAGTTTCTGTATTCATCTTCAGAGGCTTGCATTGTCGCGGCTCCCTATGCCGCTGTGTTCTGAGCTCTCTGACTGTAGTTAAGGGATAATTTGCAATAAACAAATTTAATTTGCAATTATGCTATCATTTAAACACGATTGCGGGGTATGGTTGTACAGGGAGTGCAGAATTATTAGGCAAATGAGTATTTTGACCACATCATCCTCTTTATGCATGTTGTCTTACTCCAAGCTGTATAGGCTCGAAAGCCTACTACCAATTAAGCATATTAGGTGATGTGCATCTCTGTAATGCGAAGGGGTGTGGTCTAATGACATCAACACCCTATATCAGGTGTGCATAATTATTAGGCAACTTCCTTTCCTTTGGCAAAATGGGTCAAAAGGACTTGACAGGCTCAGAAAAGTCAAAAATAGTGAGATATCTTGCAGAGGGATGCAGCACTCTTAAAATTGCAAAGCTTCTGAAGCGTGATCATCGAACAATCAGCGTTTCATTCAAAATAGTCAACAGGGTCGCAAGAAGCGTGTGGAAAAACCAAGGCGCAAAATAACTGCCCATGAACTGAGAAAAGTCAAGCGTGCAGCTGCCACGATGCCACTTGCCACCAGTTTGGCCATATTTCAGAGCTGCAACATCACTGGAGTACCCAAAAGCACAAGGTGTGCAATACTCAGAGACATGGCCAAGGTAAGAAAGGCTGAAAGACGACCACCACTGAACAAGACACACAAGCTGAAACGTCAAGACTGGGCAAAGAAATATCTCAAGACTGATTTTTCTAAGGTTTTATGGACTGATGAAATGAGAGTGAGTCTTGATGGGCCAGATGGATGGGCCCGTGGCTGGATTGGTAAGGGGCAGAGAGCTCCAGTCCGACTCAGACGCCAGCAAGGTGGAGGTGGAGTACTGGTTTGGGCTGGTATCATCAAAGATGAGCTTGTAGGGCCTTTTCAGGTTGAGGATGGAGTCAAGCTCAACTCCCAGTCCTACTGCCAGTTCCTGGAAGACACCTTCTTCAAGCAGTGGTACAGGAAGAAGTCTGCATCCTTCAAGAAAAACATGATTTTCATGCAGGACAATGCTCCATCACACGCGTCCAAGTACTCCACAGCGTGGCTGGCAAGAAAGGGTATAAAAGAAAATCTAATGACATGGCCTCCTTGTTCACCTGATCTGAACCCCATTGAAAACCTGTGGTCCATCATCAAATGTGAGATTTACAAGGAGGGAAAACGGTACACCTCTCTGAACAGTGTCTGGGAGGCTGTGGTTGCTGCTGCACGCAATGTTGATGGTGAACAGATCAAAACACTGACAGAATCCATGGATGGCAGGCTTTTGAGTGTCCTTGCAAAGAAAGGTGGCTTTATTGGTCACTGATTTGTTTTTGTTTTGTTTTTGAATGTCAGAAATGTATATTTGTGAATGTTGAGATGTTATATTGGTTTCACTGGTATTAATAAATAATTGAAATGGGTATATATTTGTTTTTTGTTAAGTTGCCTAATAATTATGCACAGTAATAGTCACCTGCACACACAGATATTCCCCTAACATAGCTAAAACTAAAAACAAACTAAAAACTACTTCCAAAAATATTCAGCTTTGATATTAATGAGTTTTTTAGGTTCATTGAGAACATGGTTGTTGTTCAATAATAAAATTAATCCTCAAAAATACAACTTGCCTAATAATTCTGCACTCCCTGTATAGCCTGGCACTTGTGTATGCATAAATACCAGTGTGAAAGGGTTATTTACATTTTGGTTGGGCTTTAAAAAATATTATTTACCAAATAATAAAGTTACAGTTAAGAAAACAATGTAATTTTCCCCACATATGCTATAATCCTTTACATGTATATTATTATGTATGTGTTTCCCCATGTATTGTATATATATGTATGCATATAATATATATGTTGCTTGCAACCACCCTCATATTGCAGACAGACATACACACACTAATACATGCACACATATACACACTAATACACAAATACATAAACACACTGATACATGCACATGCATACACACACAAACTCACATGCTCTGATGCACAGAGACACAAATATTGACTAATGCAGACATACAGTCAAGATGTGTTTTTATCTGGCTGTGTGTATTTCTTAGTGTGTCTGGCATTGTTTACCTGTGTATGTGTCTGACAGTGAGTATCCTTGTATGTGAATGTATGTTTCTGTGAGCAAGTGTATGTTTGTGGGGTAGCTGCTTGCTGTGTTTTGTGTATGTGGGGGGGGGGAGGTAACTGTGGCCTTTGTGCACTTTGTTCATGGGGAAGTTTTATTACTTTGTCTTGATGATTGTCTTCAGGGGTGACTGTGACAGGGTGAGTAAAGGTGAGTGTGACAGGGAGAGGGGGTGACAGGTTGCAGAGTTAGGGAGGTGGCAGAGTTGCGGGGGTCCAGCGTTATGGGGGGCTGGCAGAGTTATGGAGGGGGTGACAGATTACAGAGTTAAGGGGAGTGACAGGTTATAGAGTTAGAGGGGGGACAAGGGGCAGAGCTAGGGGGGGTGACAGGTAGCAGAGTGGGGGAGCAAAATACCCTTTTCCCTGGTGGTCCAGTCCCCTGGTTCCCTGGTGGTCCGGGGGGCTCCCTATTCAGTCTGCAGCTCCACTGGGTGTGAGCTGCAGACCACGTGATAGTCTCTCGATCTCCACATGTCAGAGCATTGCTGTGGTAACTCGCAACAACACTCTGATTGGCTGGGGTCACAAGACACTTCAGTCCAAGCTATCATCCGGCAAAGCTGCAGACTGAAGGCTGGCTCTCTGGGAAGCCGGGAGGGGCGTCACACCCGGCAGCACACAGAGCACGCCGCTGGGCCCCCTCCCAATGTCAGGCCCAGTTTGTGAATATATCTGCATGTCACGGTGTGTATCTGAGCGTTAATGTGTGTATCTATGTGTATTTGTGGCTCAGTATATATGTCAGTGTGTGTATCTGAGTATGTATGTATGTATGAATGTGCCAGTGTGTGTATCTGTGTGTCAGTGTGTATGTGCCAGTGTGTGTACCTGTCAGTGTGTGTATCTGAGTGTGTGTATAGCTTTATGTCAATATGTATATCTGAGTGTCAGTGTGTGCATCTGTGTGTGTATGTACACACATATACACAGACTGGCACATACATACACACACATATACACACACTGGCATATACACACTGACAGATGCAGATATCTGTGTATGTGCCAGTGAGTGTACCTTTTAGTGTGTACGACACATACAAACACAGATACACACACTTTGACACACAGATACACACACCTTGACACACAGATACAAACATACATTCATACATATACACACATACACACACACATACACACTGTGTGTCAAGGTGTGTGTCAAGGTGTGTCAGTGTGTGTATCTGTGTGCCACTATATGCCATTGTGTGTGTATTTGTGTCTCAGATGCATACACACAGACACAGATACACACTGACACACAGATACACAAACTGGCACATACAAACACAGATACACACACACACACCTTGACACACAGATACACACCAGCACAGGTTTATGCAATGGCGCAAAATTGTTGGGTTTTTTTGGAGGGGGGGGGTGAGTTTCCACAATGTTGATACACTATGTCAAAGGGTTCCACTGGAAATATTAATTGGGAACCCCTGGTCTTGAATTAATTAAAATAGTAACACATCTAATAAAACCTGGATTATTTCCCCCCAGTCTTGCATAGATATATAGAAAAAATAAACTTGTTTTACTTGTTTTACCAATTTCTCTTATAAATACATTACACACTGCTCAGTGACATTTATGTTATGATTGATTTTAATACAGTGAAACTTAAAAAGTAATATTTTAAGTTGACTCTGGGTTTAGTCTGTACAATTTTGTTTTGTGTGATATTTATTTCAACATATTAAAGCTTAAAAACAATAATTTGTAGTTGATATTAGATTTAGACTGGAAAATGTCATAGTTTGGTATTTTATTTTAACACACTAAGGCTGAAAATCAATTAGTTTACAGTTTTAGTGGATTCATGTAAAAAAAATGAAACCCTGAAATATGTTGCTGACAAAAGTACAGGAACCCGAGGTGGCGAAAGCTCAAGTTCAAAAAAGTTCAAAAAAAGATAAAAACTATTCTCATAACAAGGACACGATAACCCATATTTGACCACTACAACCCTACCATTGCCATCGTGGCAATCTCAAGAACGGGTCCTCCTGTTACCAATTGAAAGTCATTCTCTTAATCTCATTGAGAATCTGTAGCACAATAAAACCGATTTAGTTTTAGTTCAAATAGAAGTACATTCTAGAAACATTCTTCAACAACTCTTAAAAATGTAACCTTTTTTTTAACATTTAAAATACAGCCGTCATACTGTCTCAGGGGCAGGCAATGCCTAACACGTTTCATCTAGTATACCACATGCTCTGTACATGTACATGTACATGCCTGCAAACTGGATTAGATCTAAAAGCAAGGAGTGCAAAATGATTTGCAAGTTGAGTGTCTAAAATTAAAATAGTGAATACATGTTCACACTATGATTAATATAGAACGAAAATGGGCACAATAAATATGACCTATAGAAAATTACACATTAAAAAATACACATCATTGTGATGTTTTAACATGAGATCAAATAAGATGCTCAAAAAGTTCTAATTTGTAAATATTTTTACCCAGTTAAGAAATGTACTAGTAAATCTCAATGTGACCACAAACTGACTGCTGGATACAAAAAGCAGTGACTTTTTTTTACTGCATGCTTTCTACAATGCGTTAGTGACTAGTATTGGCCAAATTGGAGAAGACTTTTCTCAAATAGATACAACCTTTAGTTAGGGTCGCTGCTCCCACAGAAGCACTAGGCAGCTTTAATCATGTTGTTATGTTATTTACCTGGGAACACTACCATATAACCTTATTAGATATATTAAACTACAATGGAAGTTCCTCTCATGTTATTAATTACAGCAAGCATTCCTGTGAAGTATGTTGGAGGTAATGTCTTTAGATAAATACAGACATTGTGTTAACGCCTGGGGACTTTCTGTTGAAGAGAGATGAAGAGTAGTGCTTGATCATCACTTAAAAGAACACTGTAATGCTGGATTACATGGTTGGGTGTCTGGCCCGCCTATCTGTGGAGCTAAGAGGTTATTTTATTTACCTTTTCTTCAATCTTGATGATCTCAACCAATCTAATGCTTTGCAATAGGAGAGCATTATGAGACTAATGCGCATGTGTGGCAAAACACTGCATGGTGTCAATCAGCATCTCTTCATAGAGATGCATTGATTCAATGTATCTCTAAGGGGAGTGTTCAGCTTCTACATGCAGAGCATAGTGCATGCACTGAGATAGGAAGCACCTCTAAAGGCCATCTGAGTGACTTACACTAGAGGTGTTCCTAGGCTGTAATGTAAACACTACCTATTCTCTAAAAAGGCAATGTTTACATGACTGAACCTACAGCCTCTGGGAAGAGGGGCCCCAGAAGTTTAATCTTCTCCTCCAGCAACTCCATGGCAACCTGCAGCAACGCTCATGTGGCTCGCAAGAGGAGAAGACATGCTGCTAGAGTTGTCCACAAGTAAGAGGCAGGAAGGGGGTAAAAAGCCTAATTATACATACATACATAAAAAATAAAAAAAAAACTGTTCACCCCTCACAGCCCCTATCCAACCTCACTACTACATGTACTACACTATACACAGACACTGCATACACTACATAGACACACTCTCTGCATCCCCTATACACACACATACACACACTGCATCCACTACAGACACTGCATCCACTACACACACACACACAGACACACACACCATCCACTACAAAGACATACTTTCTCTATCCACTATACACACACACTGCATCCACTATACACACTCTCTGCATACACCAAGGACGGATCCAGAACCTAATCCCGGGACGGGCACTGGTAGATTATTTAAAGGAACAATCCAAGCGCAATAACCAAAACAGCTCTATGTAGTGGTTGTGTCACCAGGAGTACCATAGCGCTCTCCCAGAGTAAGTAGTCAAACATTTAAGAACAGTTTGACAACTTACATGAGATATGCTGGGATAGGGGCTGTAGTGGGGGATATGGCCTGCAGAAGAGGATAAGTACAGTAAATTGTTTGAGGGGTGCAATGTGTGTGAGGGGTGCAATGTGTGTGTGTTAGGGAAACAGTGTGTTTGTGTAAGGGGAGCAATGTGTGTGTAAGTGGTGCAGTGTGTGTGTGAGGGATGCAGTGTGTTTGAGGGGTGCAGTGTGCGTGAGGGATGTAGTGTGTGTGTGTGAGGAATCCAATGTGTTTGTGAGGTGTGCAGTGTGTGTGTGAGGGGTATGAGGGGCGAAGTGTCTGTGTGAGGTATGAAGTGTGTGTGAGGGGTGCAGTGTGTGTGAGAGATGAAGTTTGTGCATGAGGAGTGCAGTATGTGACTGTGTTGGGACTGATACAGGACTGTATTGTGTGTGAAGGGGCAAACGGGAGCACATAAATATATATATATATTAATTTTAAATAAATGAATATATGTTATATATGTTTGTTTGTTTTTATAAGTAATCTTTATGTCCCCTTTCCCTTTTTACCTTTGCTCACGGAGGGGAGACATTACAACGCAATCGCTGGTGGTCCCAGTAGGGAGTGAACTCTAGTCTGCAGCTCCTGGGCTAGCGTTCACTCTCGCAGCATCCTGAGCTCCAGGCTCGCAAGATGAGTACCCAGTGGAGCTGTTGGCTATAGCTCCCCTGCCGGCTGCTACATTTAAGCGGGCTGGTGAGAGAGGTCTCTGATCTCCCCACCAGTCCGTGAAGGCATGGGCCAGAAGGGGAGAGCAAGGGAGATGGAGAGCCGAGTGAAGGGGTCAAGGGAGGCAATTGCTGGAGCTGCCACTGCTACAACAGATACTGCATCCACAACACACACTGCATACACTATATACACACACTCTGCATCTACTACACACACCATACACTATACACACACACACACACTACATCCACTACATACACTATACACACAAACACTCTGCATCTACTACGCACAGACACACTGAATCCAAAACACACTCACTGCATACACTATATACACACACTCTACATCCACTACACACACCAAACACTATAAACACACAAACTACATCAACTACACACAGACACTACATCCACTACACAGACACACTGCATCCAAAACACTCTTACTGCATACACTATATACACACCCAGGTGGCACCATTTCTTGGGCCGGCCCTGGTTAGGTTATATTTGAGACCAGTTTTTCTGAATTCAATGCAGTTTTATTTTTTTTTAATCCTAAAATACAGAGGTATTCATTAAAGGGAGAATAGTTGAGAATGCAAAGTGGTTTTAAAGTTAATACCATTACCAAGAAAGCTGAACTGGATTCTTTAAGTCAACTTTATTTAATTCAGTCATTTGGCCTAAAATGTTAAATTCATTTTTCAAATTCACTTTGAGTTCCAGACAATGCACACTCTAGTGAATACCCCTGTTACTGTTGCTTTAATGTATCTTTTATTTATATTTCTTTTAGTTATTGTCACTGGTGAAGGAAGCCTGGGGCAGTACAGTTCAGATAATGTGGTTAATTATACAATAATTGCAGGTTCACACACAAACAGTGACTTGTAAATTCACTTTGACACGGTAACTCACGTGAAAATAATTCAAAGACTTAACAAAGCTTGACAGCGTCCTGTTCTTTATCTGTCGCATGAAAACATTCCTTAGCTTTCCCCGCTGTTCTAAAGAAGGGGGCAAGGAGTGCACACCGTGGGGTACAGCTCTGCTTTGGGAGAGGGATGTGTTGTTTGTGATGGAAACAAGCCCAGTACAGTACTAACTTAAAAAAACAGATGGACTTCTCCACGAGCTGCAATAGTTCATGGTAATGTGTCAGCACTCTGAATAACACCTGCACTGTTCTATGTAACTATTTATAGAGCTGTATACACACTATCTATCTATCTATCTATCTATCTATCTGTCCATCCGTCTGTCCATCTATCTATCTATTTATCTATTGGTCTATCTATCTCTCTGTCTATCTATCTCTCTATCTATCTATCGGTCTATATGTCCTTCTATCTATCTATCTATCTATTGGTCTATCTATCTATCTATCTATCTATCTATCTATCTATCTGTCTGTCTATCTATCTATCTATCTATCTATCTATCTACCTACCTATCTGTCCATCCGTCTGTCCATCTATCTATCTATTTATCTATTGGTCTATCTATCTATCTATCTATCTATCTATCTATCTATCTATCTATCTATCTATCTATCTATCTCTCTATCTATCTATCTGTCTGTCTATCCTATCTATCTATCTATCTATCTGTCTGTCTATCCTATCTATCTATCTATCTATCTATCTATCTATCTATCTATCTATCTATCTATCTATCTATCTATCTATCTATCTATCTATCTATCTACCTACCTATCTGTCCACCCGTCTGTCCATCTATCTATCTATTTATCTATTGGTCTATCTATCTCTCTGTCTATCTATCTATCTCTCTATCTATCTATCGGTCTATATGTCCTTCTATCTATCTATCTATCTATTGGTCTATCTATCTATCTATCTATCTATCTATCTGTCTGTCTATCTATCTCTCTATCTCTCTATCGGCCTACCTGTCCTTCTATCTATCTATCTATCTATCTATCTATCTATCTATCTATATATCTATCTATCTATCTATCTCTCTGTCTGTCTGTCTGTCCATCCATCCATCTATCTATCTATCTATCTGTCCATCCGTCTGTCCATCTATCTATCTATCTATCTATCTATCTATCTATCTATCTGTCTGTCTGTCTATCTATCTATCTATCTATCGGTCTATCTATCTATCTATCTATCTATCAATCTATCTATCTATCGGTCTATCTGTCCTTCTATCTATCTCTCTGTCTGTCTGTCCATCCATCCGTCTATCTATCTATCTGTCCATACGTCTGATAATAATCTACAATATTATTATATCTTAATATTATTCATAAAGCGCCAACAAATTCCGCAGCGCTGGACCAAAGGTGGACTAACAAACAAGTATTTGCAACAAGACAAGTTGGATGTTCAGAACTAGAAGGTGCTATGTACGTGAATTACAAAATGTTTCAGTTGGATCGAAACCACCAGTAACACATCAATGAAAATCAGCAGCTTATAAGACGAATTATAAAGACTAATGTCCTGAGCTGCAGTGCTCCACAAATCATTATTACAGTTAATACATTCCCCCTACCCAGTGACTGGTACAAGTGCTTTCAGCATTGACGATAACGTGATTACATTATTTCATTTCATGACAAATCTATGGTGTTTATTCTCTAAACACAAATTTCTACGGAATGGAAATAAAAAAACAAAAAACATAATTTAGGATACAACAGCTGTGATACTGTAGAATTTATCCAAGCTTATGGTGACCAGATCCACCACGTTTATAGAGACATACGTTTAATATTTATGAAAATGCATGAAAAGGGTTGCCCTGCAGTGTGTATAAAGCATATTCTGCATTAACATCTACTGCCTCATTGCAGGACTCTTCAATGCCTAATTGCTGAATCTAATACACCTTCTTCTAAATTCTACTTACTACAGGGCAGCCCTTTTTATGTGCTGTCCATCGATATGTATATGTGATACGTGTCACAGAAAAACATGGCGGATCTGATCACCCTATCCAAGTTAGCTATTTTGACAAACATGTTTTCATTCAGATTTTAATGTGGTGCAATTTGACTTTGAGGGAATACACCTCCAAATGTATTATTCAGTATTAGTTGCACGTCGTGATTTGCAAGAAGGCGAAGAATTGGAGAGATGTTTACCATCTTGGTTCGTTTGTATTTTGCTGGTGTGTTAGCAATGTGTTCCTAGCAAACGAATGAAACATCTTTAAACAATAAACTTCTGAAAGTGTTTGATATATGTTGAGAGTATAACTCCATCACACAACAAAGCGATCCCCATTGCATCTGCATTAAGCAAACATGATACTGCCTAGCTAAACTAGCATAGACAGAGTGTCTATATAGATAGTCTCAGCTCAGGTAAACTTAGTGAGATCCAATGACACACTAAGTACACAGACGGCATGGTCTTATATTAAATATCTTCCTTTGCATGTACATTTTACGAGTCTTGGAAATGTACTGTATGTCTGCTCACTATACCAACTTGCTAAATTTATACTAAACAGTGTTAGTGGAACAAACAAACAAACATTGATAAATTGTATAATGTTTAAGACTATTTCATTTTAAACTTTTCTTACTATTTGCCCTGAATTTTATCCTAATTTTGCATAATCTCTAAACTCATTCATTTGTAATACAACAACCTTATGAGATTCACAGAGAAATATAAAACCAACCACTTTTGCCGTTATGGCTATTACTGTTAATATGATTATTATTATTATTATGATTATTATTATTATCATTATTTTATAATGTATGATCTATAAAACATGTTATCTGGTGTGTGAGCATGATGTGAGTAGGTGCAATGTCAGCGATTGATTATCCTTGGACCATAAATTTATTTATATGATGACAAGGTATAAAGAAATAAAATACTTACTACATAAATAATAAATAAAATGTAATTTTGGCTGATTTCTACACTGCCAACCCAAACTCACAAACTAATAGTAAGTGATAACATTCCAATCATTCACTTATAGGATACAAGTTATCTTTGACTTGATACAATGGACTAAAATATATATCTTACTGCTGTACATATTGAAGAAAATCACAGCTAATGCACGAAAACAACAACATGGAATACATTATATATATACATTATTGCTGCTAACTATGTAATCATTGTCTGATAATAAGTATAAAGTCTAATACAAATGTCATCAACAACATTAGATAGAGATGCATATAAAAAAATTACCTTTTCTTTCAAATCATTCAGCTCAGCCAGCAACACCATCTGTACTAGCAGAGGGTAGTTATTTTCAGTCAGTGAGTTCTTGTTAAATGAGGCAGGGTCTGCTGCCTGGAGCATCACGTTTCACTAAAGGCAGACCCTACTTTTAAAGGAAAAAAAAAAAAAACTCAACAAAAACAAGTTTAATAAACAGTATGTGACCTTTCACGCGTAAAACCGGTACATAAATCGAAGGGAACAGAATTCTTAAAGTTTATGTTGTAACATTACTATGATCGTATATTATCATGCAAAGTATTTAACAGAGCATGTCACAACCTAGGTTTTGGCAAAACAGGTACGTAAAGCACAGATATAATGAAACCATGCATAAACCTTACATTTATTGGTTATGTACACCTTTTATCATGTGTAATAGTTTATTGTGAAGACTTTACTGACTTTAATTATTCATTTAAAATATATTAGAAATTAATAAAAGTTGGCTTTGCCCACAAACAAACAAACAAACAAACAATGACATAAGCACAGGGGGTACTCTATTACTCCATGAAATTTTTATTGGACTTAACGGGGAAATACTTGATGCCAGTTTCATGAAATTCAGTTATAGTCCATGCTGGTGCAGACAATAACTAAAATAATATATTTTAATTAAAGAACATTTTTATTAAGGAACACTTCCACCACTATAACCACTTTAGCTCATTGGAGTAGTTGTGGTGCCAGGAGCCCTCCGGCACCATAAACATTATGATAAGTGTTAATCATGTAACTCTGGCTGCTGAATATTACTTTAGGCTAGAAATGATCTATTACTTTATTATTGAACCAGAGATTAAAATGCCAATTCCTACACTACTAGCCAGGCTTTAAAAGTTGTTTGCCAATGCAAACCTGGAGTGCTCATGATATACCTACCAAGGTTGACTTGAGGGACATCAAAATAAATGACGGGAAATGGACAGTGATCTGCCCGCACTCTTGGTCAGCGGTTGGGGCTATTATAATAAAGGCGGAACCTAGTGTTCCCCCATCCTTTCCCATCTATCTATCTATCTACCTTGAGTGCTGGTATTTTCACTTTGTTTACGATTAAGCCACCAGAGCACCAAGTACTATTTTTATTTTTCTAGTTGGAGAGCAGGGGTATTTTGTATTTTTGTATCTATCTATCTATCTATCTATCTAGTCATATACAGTATGTGTACTTTCTTTATTGTGTTAGTGTTTATTCACTGTTATATATACAGTATTTAAACTAGTAAAAATCTATACAATTTAAGTTAATTGAATGATTAATCAGTGTTTTGCTATGCCCTGAGGTACTTACAGATGTACAATACAACTAGTCGCCTAAGGAATTTGCAACATTCCTATGTAGATATGGCTGACTGAATAGTGATAATATCATAAAAATGTTTTGTTAACCAGGATGATGATACTTGTTATAATAATTGTAGGTGGGTTCCTGATATTTGTAGGTGCTAACAGAATGTTTTAGGAGGTCCGACGTTTACACAAACGTGTTTATAATGATAACAATATAACATGATGGTAAATCAATCTTCTGTGAACTGCGGTGAACTGAAACCTATATTTCAAAATTTAAGTTCCGATATCAACTTGCACAAATCACTTTATAGTTTATAAATCCCACTTGTTAAACTTATATATAGTCCTTCCCCTACACTGTCTTACAGTTGTGGCGTAGTTCTGGCGAATGTTGCTTAAAGGATAGGTCATCAAATTTTCCCTTTTTTTTTTTAAAGCTTAATTTAATGAAATTTTATGATTTTAAGAAAAAATTATATATATTGATGTACTTGAGAAATTTAACTTTTTATCTGGTTGAGCAGCCATGTTTGGTCAGACTCTTCTGTTATCTTACCAAATGCTGCTCAACCCAGCTTGCCTGCTGTGACGGAGCTCCCCTACTCTAATCAAGTCTGCTTCCCAACCACTTTAAGGGACCCAGTCACGAAGGGACACATAATACCATAATAACATATTTATAATGGGGTGGGAGGATAATAAAAAAAATAAAAAATTGCCTGCCTGCAGAAATCATATTACGCAAATCTACCCAAATATGCAAATTAACAAGCCTTGTACTACCCGTACCTCGGGTAGTACATAGAGCTTTTCGAAAGCAATTAATACATGGTGCTGTACAGACTCCTTAGCCAAATTCATTGAGCTGATTGAAAGCATCAGCAGGACAGGAGAGCACACAAACATTTAAAAATGAACAATACATTATACACCTATGCACTTATAATGGGCACAGGACGACTAAGACATAAGAATAGTCTTGGAGCCTACATAAAGCGTCTGTCTTCAACCCCCATGATCTTAAATTCTGTCACATGTCCCCACCCCCAAGGGTAGACTAACCAAGTACCTCCAATTGGTCTGTGCCTGAGTTAGTCTGGTAACCAGGGCTCGAGTCCTGCAGGAACGCGTTGGAACGGTGTTCCTGCACTTTTTTTACAGCAGGAACGCCGTTCCCATTGCTCCTGCAGGCACTCAGGGGATGGCAAAAAATGTCGCCCCCAAGTGCCCCCATGTTCCCCTGCAATGGGGGGCCCAAGAGGTAGCCTGACGGCCACCTGATGGACCCCCCCCACACCTGCGGGCACCTGTCTCCCTGTCAGACGCGGCGAGGGAGCTGTGCTCTCTCTGCTCCCTTGCGTGTCATTTGTTAATGCCGGGAGCATCAGTAGCTCCCAGCATCAGTAGACAGGCCACGCGGCGAGAGGGAGCAGAGAGAACACAGCACCCTCGCCGCGTCTGATAGTTGATAACATGAGAATTATGCTGACTGTTATTTACATCAATTATTTAGGTAAATTAGAAAAATATCATTTGCATAATAATTTGGAACAGGGTGTATATATTTTTATGAGTGTATATTATTTTTTTTGGGGGGAGGGGTGCATCTTGGGTGAGTTTCCACACTTTATTCCCCAGGACTTGACGACTGCTGGTAACCAGCAACAAAAGTCCATTCAGCCTGAAAGCTTTCTTGACAAAGTTGCACACTGTAGCGGCATTGTGCTGTTGAGGAAAGCCAACTGTCTCTTATGCTGCAGGAGAGTAAGGTTGCTTATTCCCCCTTCTTCATGCTTCTTCGGCCACTGGTGAGTGAAGGTGCTGGCCCTCCCTCCCTGGAATTCACACTGCCAATGGGTGAGAATCCTCTCCCAAGTACTCCTGCCACTAAGGAGGGAGAAAGAATACTCCTGCTCTCTGTGGTCCAATTTGCCACTGGCGAGAGAGGCCGAATACCTCATCTCCATGGCTTGCACTCTGCCGCTGGGAAGGGAGGCCGGAAATCTCTACCTCCTTTTGCTGGGTTGCACTCTACTTCTGGAGAGTGAGGCCAACTACCTCCTCACAATTTGTTAGAGACCGCCGCTGGGGAGGGAGGCCAACAACTTCCACTCCCTTGTTTGGAAGGGAAATCTCTACCTCCACTTGCTGGGTTTCCATGTGCCATTGGAGGGGGAGGTCTACTGTTTCCACTTCCTGGGCTGCACTCTGCCAATGGGGAGGGAGACCATCTGCCTCTCCCTCTGCTTGCTGGGTTTCCATCTACCGCTGGGAAGGGAGACTGGCTACCTCTGCACCCTTGGTTGTGATTTGCCACTAGGGGGGGGGGAGGCCGACAATTTCCACTCTCTTGTTTGGGATCTGCTGCTGGGAAGGGGGGCCAACTACCTCTACCTTAGCTTGCTGGGTTTCAATGTGCCGCTGGGAGGGGGGACAACTGTCTTTACCTCTGCTTGCTGGGTTTCCATCTGCTGCTGGAGAGGAAGGCCTACTCCTTCCACTCCCTGGGTTACACTTGGCCACCTGGTAGGGAGACCAACTGCCTCTATTTCCATTCACTGGGTTTCCATCTGCCACTCGGAAGGAAGGTCGACTACCTCCTCTCCCATGGTTGGGATTTGCCAAGGGGGTTGAACCTTCTGTCCCTGGTACTCTCTACTCCCCAACCTTGCCACCAAAATCTTGTAGTCACACTTCACTTGCTGGACTCTAGTCACAAAAGCCATAGTGTGCAGGATGGTCTACACCAAAAGAGTAGGGCCTTAAAATGTGCTACAGAATTTACTGGCACTGTATAAATAATAAAATAATAATAATAAACCTCAGAAATGTCTAAACCAAATCAATTAACTCTGAGTGATGGTTGGAGGACACTCTGTAGTCACCTCCCTGCAGATCAGTTGCACCACTTCTGCTGAAAAAGGCTGCAACTATCTTGTACCCTGATCGAGTACCTCCACCCAGTCTGCTTCCTAGCCCAGGGACCCTGGAATGCTTCAGAGAGAGAGGATTGACTGGTGGCACCAGGGAACTCTTCCATCTGACCAGGCTGCAGCTTCCAGGCATGTATCGTCCTCTATTCCTATTTCTCTGCAGCAATCTCCTTGCAGACAGGTATCCACACCTCTGCCTACAGTGTGACTCTCAGGCTTAGCCCTTTTCAAATTGTCAGTGGTTACAGGGACAATGCAGCCAACCAATAGGTCAGAAGACTCTCTTACTGGGAACCCTAAACAAATACAACAGGACACACAGTTCTAAAAGGAACTAGCACACACAGCTTTATTTAAACTTGAGACAAGCCCATATAATCAAATCATATAATCAAATCATATGGGGGAAATTACAGGAACACATAACATAATAACATTTTTATAAAGGGGTGGGAGGATAATAAATAACGCAAAATATCTCCCCTACCTGCAGTTATCATAATATGCAAATCTACCTGAATATGCAAATTAACAAGCCTTGCTATTCGGGTACTGCATAGAACTGTTTCAAACAGCCAAATCTACCTAGCTGATTACAAGCATCAGCAGGACAGGAAAGCACACATACATTTGACAATGAACAACACATTATACACACCCTGCACCTATAATGGGCACAGGGTGACTAAGACATAAAAATAATCCGGGTAACCTACATAAAATGTTCGTCACACCTGCCATCACACCTGCTGCTGTGAGTGATCTATGTGAAACTATTGCAGCATTGCACAGATCAATCATAGCTGCAGGCAAGGTAAGCTTAGGCCAAGTAAAAAGTGTAATTTTCTAAAAAAAAATCCTTATACAATAATTTAGAAAATATTAGGTTTGATTAAATATAATAAAGTAAAAAAAAA